CATTTATTGAATTTTTTGCCGTCAACGATTTCACCCTTTTCCGTCACGGAAGATGATGTGTCTCACTGGACCATTAACAAAATGACACGTGGTGAATTAAAAACGATTTTTTTAATGATTTAAAAAAACCTTACCTCCTTTTATTTTCCACGTGGATTAAACGTTCACTTATTCCCCTATTTTGCAGAGTGTTACCTTCAAAAAAATCAACGTCTTTCATTTGGGACTTTCCCCCGATTTGGAATCAATCAAGGTTTCATTTGAGTATTTTTGGGTGTCAAACGGTCTCTTTTTCCCCGATTTTGCAATGGGTTTATGAAATTTTAGGTACAAGTGTTCTTTTTGATTTCGTTTGAGTTTTATTTTGGGTATCTTCATGATTTTTGTTTATATTAAATGAGTCTCGGGTTCTTTTCATGTATTTGGGTTTTGGAGTTTTTTTTTCATACCATTTGAGTATTTGCTTAGGTTCCTTTTTTATTTGATTTCAACATTGAAGTGTTTTGTACAAAATATGGTTATATATACATATACTTCCATGGTTGGATACCAAACAGAGTCTAACAAAAAGAATGTAAAGGGATAAAATTTTATTAGGGTTATTTTCATGTATTTAGGTTACTTCACGATTTTATTTAAGTACTAAATGATTTTCATGAATTTTGTTTTCATTCAATTATTTTAAAGGATGTCATCATATTGCTCAAACTAAAAAAGAAGACACTGTCGAGAATTCTTTTGCGATTGTGGGAAGAAAGTTGTAATTCGTATTTCCAGAAAAGAATTAAGCAAAGGTCAATGATTATTTGGTTGTCTAGAAGGTTCCATATTAATTATTCTTCATGTATTAATGAAAATGTGAATTTAGGGTAATTCTTTGGTTATTTTTTTTACTGAATGTATGAAATGTGATGCAGGACGATAGATGTAGCTTTTTTCGTTGGGTTGATGAAGATGTTAGAGACAAAAACGACAAGGACATTCTTCTTAAAGTTATGACAGAAAACAACATGTTGTTAAAGGAGAATCAAGAGTTGAAGGTTGCTCAAGTATTGATGAAATGTAAAAGAGATTGTTGTGCAAATGATGGTTCTAAATTGTTGGAGGTGGAGAAGAAGTAAAGGAAGGCTAAGTGTGAAACTTGTATGTACAAGCTTGTGATATTGTGTATTTTGGCTTTTGGTGTACTATATTCCATGAGTAATTGATGGATTAGAATTGCTTAACTTAAAAAGTGTCCAAGGTACAAGGTTATTTTTTGGTTGATGTTGTAGTGTACAAGGTTGTGTACAAAGTTGATGTAATGAAGAAGTTTATGAAATGTTATTTACATTATCAAAGATGTTTATGAAATATTCATTCATGATTGAACAAAAAATATAAATGTGAGCAAATTTGGATTCAAGATTTAAAAATAGCCACATAAGTATGACAAGTTGATTAACAAAATACTTAGAGTTATGAGTTGCCCAAATAATGATATCTTCAAGTTCACTAACAACTTGTATTTACTTTCTCCTTTAACAGAGTTTAACAAAAAAATACAAAGGGACAAGTATCTACTTACATGGTTGTTTCCTCTTTGACCTTGTAGGTTTTGTATGTGCCTGTTGTGCTAGTGCCTGTTGAGGTTGGTATTTAGTATTACACTTCCTCTTTGGTATTATAGGTTGTTCCTCATATGTTTTGTTTTTACCCTTATCATTTCGGTTAGTAGTTGATGGCGGAATAGACTACTTGATTGTGGAAGGCATATGAGTAAGTGAAGAGATGTCATTTTCGCCCTAAAATTGAAATGAAGAGAACAAGTAATAAAAGTTCAGTACATATTTAATAGAGAATAACTAACAGTATGTTAAAAACATGTAACTTACATCTGGTAATGGTGGATGTTCTATTGCTACTGCTTGTTGAGGTTATTGTTCAGTAGGACATTTCCATGAGTTGTGTCCTTGTTTGAAACATAGTTGACACCTTTGTCTTACTCCTCTTTTAGATAATCTTGTCCCACAACTACTTTCAAATATTTCTTGTCTTTTTTTTGTCTCTCAGGCATCTTCTTCTCAATGGACTTAGAGGACTCTGATTTTCTCCTATACCAGAACTTATCACCAGATAATAGATGGAGGACACAACCATAAAGATGCTCATTAACTTCTTTCTTGTACAAATGAAACACATAACCCTCAATCAATTTATTTCTAAACAAAATGACACATATAACATGAGGCCGGGGTATACCAGTTAAATCTCATGCCCTACAAGAACATTTTCTTGCATTAATGTCAACAACACAAGTATCTTCCCCAAACAATACTTCATACCCATTAGAACTATTCCAAGTAACATGACAGTAAGAGCTCAACTCCTTATTGGCTTTGAATTTTTCTCATGATTTTAGGCCCAAACATTGATTTCCAAGACATAGTTTCCTTCTTATTTTCCACAATCTTATTTATTACATAGTGCCTAATGTACTCAAGCATGGATATTATGGACACGAACCTTGATTGGAGAATAACAATATTAAAGGCTTAACATTGTAATGCCCTAAAACCCGAGTTAGTAGTTTGGTTCAACCCGAGATCCATTTTAGACCCAAAAGATTTATTAAAATGGCTTGGACCAAGTTTAATGGGAATTGGGCTGAGTTGGGCCCAAAAGATTTAGGAAAGGTGATGATTTTCTTGTGGGCTTAAAAGTGTAGGGACCTAAAGAGTAGTTTACCCATTTTTAATTAAAGTTGAAATCTTTCCCCTCCATTTTATATCAGATTCACGTAAACCAAACCCAAAACTATCTTACCAAATACTCTTCTCCTTCTTCTAGCATTTTTTATTTTCCTTCCTTTCAAAAGCTAAGTTTCAAGCAATCCAATCTTAGTTAACTTGAGCCAAGGTAATATTATGAATAACCATTCTTCAAGCTTTAATTTAAGCCATATTTTGCAAGTTTTCCTCTATGGCTTCCAAAATGGGTTTTGGGAGGTTTAATAAATCCAAGGATTCTAGGTCGTTTTTGTTAGATTTAGGTTATTGGAAGTATTCTTATCATTATTTTCATTACATAATTAATTTATAAACTTCTTTTTATTATCTTTGATTAGTGAAAGAAGTGGGTGAAGCCTCCAAGACAAAGGGGAAGGAAAAAGCTTTTATTGAGTAAGTTGAAGCTTTGCTTTTAACCTAGAAATCAAGGTATCCACACTTACAACTTCTCTATACTCTTAGTGGGCCATGTTAATATATTGAATAGCATGAAGGTAAGAAATAAACTTATTGAGTATATCAATGGTAGATTTTATGTTTTGGAATTGTAAGCATGATATAAACCTTATTTATGTAGTTTTTATGACATAAGACTTTAAGCATGTTTGGGGACCTCACAAGGATCTTTAGGAGTGAGATATAACATTTTTGTACTTGTTTTTAAGTCTTTTGTAGGTCAAGTATAGATACTATAGGGCTAGTATTGATACTTGTTCTTCATTTCTAAGTAGAAACGTGTTTTCTGGGCATAAGTATCGATATTCTTTCAAGAGTATCGATACTTTGGGTAGTAGTTTCGAAATTCCCAGAAAGTATCGAAACTGGGCATTACAGATTGTTTAAAAATATCGATGCTTATATAAAGTATCGAAACTTTTACATGAGTATCGATACTCTTGGGCTAGTATCGATATTTTCAGTATGTTTTGGGCAAAAAGGATCATTTTTAAGGGAATTTGACCTGAGGTACCTTAATACTTCAGTAAATTATCAAATAAGACTACAAGTGAGAATATTTACGATGTTTAATTCATACATAGAAACCAAATAATTAGGGTGACATAAAACTAGCCATGGTTGATGCTCGGGAAACAATTTGGAAGTCCGAGTTCCTCTAGTTTAAGTTGTCGAAAGTATAGATATAGTCTGAATATCCATAGGTAGGGCGCAAGACTCTTAAAACATACTAGCTAGGGATCAAGGTCTGACACTCGTAAGGGGTGGGCTAGTTGAGAGTGTGGTGTCCAATGCAGTGATTCCGGGGGGCACATCCTCGGTAGACTAGAGGGGTACGTGAACTCCAAGATGCAGAAATCCCTCAGCCACACCATGATGTATACCATAGTGTAGAGAGTGAGTATCGCAAAGATACTCAATAATGTTGTATTGATGATGCGTTGTATTGTTTTCAGTTATTAAAACATGTTTTAAATGTACCCATGTTAGTATATTTTGGTTGTTAGTGTGGCATTGGGCTAGTTAGCTCAACGTTTGGAATTGGTTACCTTACGCAGATGTGGTGAAGACTAGTAGAGGAGTTGTTTGACTAGAAGAAATCCAGACCAGGTAGCAGAGCAGAGTATGTCTCGAATTTCTTAGAGGGCATGTATATTTGAAGTCTCTATTTTGTAAATTCGAGTCGTAAATTGTTCTAAAAGCATGGTCTGTATATTTTTATTTTTTTATATATGGGAGCTCGCGAACTATAATTTATTTTGTATGAATTTTATTATCTATTTTATTAAAAGATTTCGTCAATGAAAGTTATTTTATTTGAGCATGTTAGAGAAATTTGTTGGTTAGCCACTCCGGTGGTCCCGTGTACCACTATCGTCGGTCGACTGTGTGTTGTATTGGTGTAGGGTGTTACAAGCATAATTATTATCAACTATATCACAATGAGAAGTTGTGTTAAAAAATATCCTAAACCAGTGTACCGAGTCTTTTAATAACAGATCATCTAAAGTTTTACCTTGCAACTCACCCAATCTATATGCATGATGATATAAATCCCCTTCATTGGTGCTCTTACAACAAGTCCAAAACAGCTTCTGTAACTCACTTCCTTTGTGGGTTTTTTTTCAAGAAGCATAAAAGTGTCTTGCACAAAAACGATGCTCCACATTTGGTAAATGTTAAACTGATTTCTTCAATTAAACCCAATATTCAATAAAACAAAATTCTAATTATAAGTTAGTTTAAAAAAAATGTTAATGATTTATAATGGCTTAAATGCCCCACTGCCCCCTGAACTATACCACTTGTACCAAGTTGCCTCTTAAAGTATTTTTTGAGATGTTTTACCCCTTGAATTTTAAATCGTTACCTCATTTAGTCTTCGGAGCCAGCAACGTCTCAAAGATGCTAATGGTATAACCATGATTCAAACCCTAAAGCAATTATTATCCTTTTAGAATTTTGTTTAGTCTTTTTGGCTAATTTGTACGTTCTCATGGTGGATTATCACGGCTGTGTGTGGTTCAGGAAGTGCCGGAGAGCCAACGCTCCGACACAGCTGCGAACAATCTTGTTTACGAGGCGCATGTGAGAGTAAGAGATCCGGTTTATGGCTGCATGGGTGATATTTCAGCTCTGCAACAACAAGTTCAATCTTTACAAGCTGAACTAAACGCAGTAAGGGATGAGATAATAAAATACAAGTGTAGGGAAACTAACCTTATACCACCACCTTCCTCCCATGTACCCATGCTCTCACCTGGGGATGTTTCAGTGGCTGCACCACCACCGAGCACCACTCAGCCGCCGCCTCTTCCTCCGCCACCTCCTCCTTTTCCTACTGCTACCGCCGTTACTACTTGTTCCATATACACTCAACCCACCGCTGCTGTAAACTATAGCACCATTTCAAAAGATAATGTTTCCTACTTTGGGTAAAAATATCATTGCCTTTCGTTCTGTTTAGTCACTCGGCTTGCTCCCCAATTGATAAACTCCGCATATGCCTTTTACCTATAACTGTTGGTTGATTTGTTTTTTTCTCCTACATTTGTTTTATTATCTTGATTTCCACTTCTCATTACTGTTTTCCTTAATGAATAATATGGACACTGCCACTTGGTATTAGAGCATGGACAATATATATTCTAATATCATGCTTTTCACTTTATAAGCTAATTTCCAAAGTTTAATATGATATTAGAGCTAGTTTCGAAATGCCTTTAACATGATATTAGAGTTAAGTTCTTTGCTTGTTTTTTTCGAGGTATGGTTTGAATTTCTTTTAACCGGTCCGATATCTAACCCTAGACAATGTAAACAAGGGGACATGGGCAATGAGAATTGAGAAATAATGCATAGTTTTTGTGATGGGGGAGATCCTAATTGAATTTTAGATTATGTATTGGGGAGGGTGAATAGGTTGCATGTGAAGGGCAGGCTGTTAGCACATGCTATTCTGTGCCATTGAAGGATCTAATACTACACGAAGTTGGGAGGGGGAGACAAAAGGAATATATAGTGCTTTCGATAATCCTCATGTAGGTTACAAACTTCTAAAGGGTTTTCTCTTTTAAGATTGTGGTCTTTGGATTGTTGAGAGCATACGAATCAAATCGTTTTCTCATGCATAACTCTTATAATATTTCTTAATTTTAGTTTTGGTTTACTTATATTTATCGTTTACATTCACATATAACGTTATTCATTAATTATATTAAAGGATATTCGTTTAAACATGTTGAAACCAATAATCTTAAATTATTGCAACAATAATAACATCAAATAAATATGTTTTAAAGTGAGAATCTAGGGCAATGCTTGCCCTAGTTGATTATTCACAGGTGATGAATGTGGTTCCATTATTGATTGGGTTGACACTTCTCAAACTTGTGTTTTTAATTATTAATTGTGCAAACTATAAGTGAATCTTGTCAGTAAGCAGGTACTTAGTGAAAATGTAAACAAATATAGTGCAATTAAGTCAATGATGGTGGCATTTTGGAACTTGTATTGCTCATTTAAGATAGGAAGCTATTGCTCATAAATATCATATTGTTGAGTCTCTAGAATGCCAAAAGATGTGATGAGATTTGGTCTCATGTCATCGTTGCTTGAAATCATGGCATCTCCTCTGTCTCTATATAATTCTTTCTTTGTTTTATTTTATTTTTTAAAAAAAATCCCACATTGATGAAAAAGAGAAAAGGGAAATTATGTGCCTTGCTTTCACAATCTGCCTGGGATTTTACGATATATGGGATGATTGCAACCTATTATATATAGACAACAAAATGGAGTAACTTATGTTATCATCACTACTGTGACCTTTAACTTAGGTAAAGATTAGTTTGTTGGATTTTCTCTTAATAATTTGGATGCATAAGATAATATCTTTTTAGAATCTTTATTACTCGAACCTGAAACTTTTAAGATTAACGACATTACTTTTACCACTTTAATCCTTCGATGAGTTCTAGTTTGTTGAAACTAATAAGTCGGAAACCATAAATATATAAAGATATATATATCTTGAAGGAAATAATAATTAAATTAATGCGTGTTGAATTTACAGGGGCTTGTATATATTAAGAATAGTAGATGGAATTCCCATAGAATCTCATATCACTTTTAAAGAATAATTTAATCTCTTTTCTAGGTTTTGTCTGGCTAGAATTAATGTTCATCCTACTAATAAAAATATGATGTAACTTATAAATAAATAATTTTAAAAAAAGATAAAAATAAAAATTTTATCATTAAAAAATAAATTTAAATTTGGTAAAGAATATGAGGCTAAATACTTAGTTAAAGCTCAAGGTGACAACACATAGCTTCTTAATCAATTGACCTATGTTTCTTTCTTTAAGTATACTTCCCTTCAAATTTCTAGTTTTCATAAAGAGATTGTGCATGGGATTCTGGTACTGTAACTAAAACTTATATTACAATTTAAAAATGGTGCAATTAAGGTGACGATAGAGGAATCTTTTCAACTTATAACAGGGGCAGCTGTTACATATTACTATTAGATGCTCTTAGGAAATGATGTCTTCAAGATTAATGTTTTAGAAACTCATAGTTATGAACCTGAATAAAATTAAAAGAAAAACCTTGGGTTAATGCATATTGACCGGTACTTCATTAATATTTACTGAATCAAGGTGTCAGATGTCAAATAGTAAAAATTGCAACAATGTCGGATGTTCTATATTATGTCAATTTGATTAATAGGGAGACATATCCTATGTTAGATTCCACAAGTTGAACTATTGGATTTAATATTGCTTATACCGACAATCTGCCAATTTTCTTTTGAGGATTAAAATTGTGATTTTTCAAGATAAAAGGGATGCTTTCATTAATTAAAGCAAGCAGTAAAAAAACATCAGAACTGGTGAGAGAAAACTAAATTCAAATCAGCACACTTATCATCCAATACTGAAACATTAAACAAAAGGCATAGGAAGCATTCGACGCTTTTACCTACATTTGTCAACTAGTTTAACCAGGGCATAATGCAGTAAATTTATTCACTCATTTAACCATTGGGTCAAAGAAGCTTGTTTAGGTTTACGCTGCAAGAGTGTATCATGTCAAGCCGGGCATAATGCAGCAAACTTCATTCATTAACTACAGTGTCAAAGAAGCTTATACTCTTCACCCGTTATTACTATGCTATATTCTAAAACAAGGTCGTTACAATTTACATTTGAATGCACAAATGGTAAACCTCAAACCAATTCAAACAAAGAAAGCACACCAAGTAGATAGGCTTTTGGAAAGACAATTCTTAGAGAGTACTCAGTCAGAAAGCAATAATATAAAGGAAACCAGACCATAGTCACAATATCTTATGTTATTACACATGCTAGCTAGACGTCGATAAACCTATTCAAGTCACGAGACACATTTGACAGGATTCAGCAATAGGGACACTATATTTGCTAACAGCTCTCAAACGTTGGTCAAAACAGATGCCCTCAGATTTTAAAACAATATAATGACACAATTGGAAAAGAAGAGATTCCGTAAAAATCAACATTCAGAATAAATTATTGCTCATTGCATACAAAGATAGTAATGGGTTCTTTTAGATGTAATCATGAACTTGATTTTTACAACCAAGTACAATGATGTAGTGCAGAACCTTAAGAGGTTGAAGAAAGCGGGGCTTCATTCTTGTTACTTGCATTTGCAGCAGTATCCACCAATGGAGGTGTATAGATTCTAGCCTTCTTGAGAATTTCAGCAACAACCCAATGCTTATGCTTGCTCAACGGCCTAGAAGGATCTAGTTTAACCTAAGAAAAGCACATATTGAAGTATTTCCAATATTAATATGACACTGATGTACAAGACACTCAAACATTGACCAAAGAATTGAAGACATACCCTGTCACCAATGTTGCATTGATCTTTTTCATCATGGGCCATGAATTTGGAGGTGCGTTTGACATAGCGGTTGTAAAGCTTGTTGTGGAAGAGCCTGTCCACTGCTACTACCACTGATTTCTGCATTTTATTTGATACAACAATGCCCACAACCGATTTCATCTTCTTTCTTTTTTGTATTCACTTTGACTAGCTTATAACAAGCCAAAATCACTATCTGCAAAAGCTGTGCAATTTCCAATAAAAAAGGCATGAAACGGAGGAAAAAATATCAAAGGATATACTTGAGATGGTACCACGAGTCGATGAGGATAAATGGAAGTAAAAGGAGAAATGGGTGTGTGGGAAGAATTAAGATTATAACAGGTAAGTATGCTAATTTTGAGGAACGTGTACGATGTATCATAATCAAATGCTAACATAATAATTTTGACAATATCCAATTACTGCCTGAACTCATTTCAATACCCAGTTCTAGATTCAAAGTTAGTCTTAATCTAATTCAAAGTGTTCCCTATTACTTGACCCAAACCCAAGAAAGAAAGAAAACAATCTTGCATCTAATCTATCGAAGAAATACTTCAAAAAATAAAATCAAATAAAAAAAAAATTATAGTTCACAGATAAACAAGTTTTCTACTTACAAATACAACTTAAAAAATAAAATATATTAGCACCAGAGAAGATAATAAGAATGCATTGTCTGAAAACTAAAATAATCATAGTTGAGATCAACTCGTGAAAAATTATTCACGATCTTCCTAAAATATGCCAGTACAATCGCATTTGAACATGATACAACATATAAAAAAAATACTAATATAACTTTTAGATGAGGAATAATAGAATTTAAATCATTTAGTAGACATTTTCATTACATCTTTACTCTTATTCTTGTCCATAACATTTTCATTGCTAGACATTTCACTAATCCTCTAAATGAATTAAATCATATCATCGGATAGAAATATAAAACGATTAGATAAATTCAATCAATCATTAGTAGTGGTGGCTGCCGTTTCGAGGTAGCGGCACCGTCCGCCACCGCTAAAGACCTCAATAGCGGCGATAACGGACATCTCTTTCTGCTAAACTGATGCCTTAAAAAAATCCCTTCTCAACAAAATAAACAGAGAGAAATATCAGTGCGATGGAAAACAGATAATCAAATATAGCAGAGAGCAGGTAACACAAACCAAGCCGTAACTAATCGGATAACTTGAGTGGAAATCAATATTTAAGTCAAATTTTAGGGTTTCAAAAATCACCTAATTTCGATTTCCTGGTCTGCCGGAATCTTCAAGACAAGAAAAAAACTGGGTTTGTTTGGCGGCGGGCAGTGTAAAGAAAGACTAGTGAGGGTCAGGAATTTCAAAACGAAAAAAAAACTATTATAATTCTCTTTTTGACAATAATAATAATAATTTTTATTAATATGAAGTAAGTACAAAATAATTTTCGATCATATAATATTAATGTTTATTTTCATGTTTGAAATTTGTGATCTTAAAAAATAATAATAATTTTTTATCACTAAAATCACTCGATCGTGTAAGTATTAATAATCTTAAACACAATTTAAATCTATATAATTTTGATATAATAATAATTAGTAAAATAATTATAATAATTTAATTAATATTTTACTTTTAATAAAAATATTATTTTACTTTAAATTTTGATTAATTATTTTTCATTGAAATTTATATGATATTTCTCTTTTAGATTTATTAACCTTATTTTAAAATACATGTATTATTTTTATATTTTGAACTAGAATAATGATGTTTGATTTATGTCGTAATTACATATATATAATATAGGATTATAACACCAAGACTAAAACGACACACAATCGATCGATGTAGTATGCCACACGGAACCACGAAATGGCTAACCAACTTTAAACTTACTTTCTCCTACTTTAAAACGGCCATAAAATAAACTGAAATATAATAAAAATCTTTTCTAAAGGGGAGCTCCAAAATAAAATATTTACACTTAAAAAATATTACAGACAACTTGACTGAATCCACGACTTAGCTGAACAATAAGGTTTACAAATATACATGCCCAATAAAAACGCTGAGACGTATATCTGATATGTACTGGACTGGTCTGAAACTTGGTTTATCTAATGTTTCCCAATTGCTTGATCTACTAACCTGCCCACGGAAACATCCGAAGGCTGAGCTAACTAGCTTAGCTCCACACTAACGGCTAAAACATACTAATTGCATCACTGAAAACCTCCATTATCAAGTCTACTATATAAGGTCTACTGCTATTTGTTCTATTCTACTAGCCACTCCTAGAGTGTTAGACCTTGCGCCCAAGCTAGTCTGCTTTAAAACTTCTTTAGTGAGTATTCGAGAATACTCACTCTCTACGCTATGGTATACATCATGGTGTGGCTGAGGGTTCTGCATCTCGGAGCTCACACACCCCTCTAGTCTACTATGGATATGGCCCCCGAAATTCTATGCATCGAAAACCATACCCCTGACTAGCCCACCATTTCTTCTAAAACGTGTTAAGGTCTCAACAAACATAGTTAGTCAGAAGGGTCTTGGCCCTACATAAGGATATCTGGATTGAATTTACACTGTCGACTATGTTATCTTTTTAAAGGAAATCGGGTGTCCTGGTCGTTTTCCGAGCATTCAAACAAAGCTAGTCTTATTTCACCCTACTTTATTCTCGTTTCTACGTTTGAAATTAACATTAATAAATGTTCTCACTTGTAGTCTTATTTGAGAGGAATTATAAGCTTTTGGAAACCTCGCTTACCTCTATACTTTCTCTAGACCTAAAACTCATTTCTCAACCTTGGTATCGATACTGACCTTACAATATCGATACCCTCGCTTGCCTCTACACTTAATCGTGCTTTAAAGCTCAAACCATACCCTTGGTATCGATATTGGCCTTACAGTGTCAATACCCTCTTTGTAGTATCAATACCCTTCCTAAGGTATCGATACCCAAAAGATATTTCATCCATTTTAACCCAACTTTAAACACCTTCTATAGCACTTATTATAGTGTTTTACACCTATTCAATCCCATTGATGGTCATACTATGGATCTAGGGCCTCTGAAAACGTTTTGACCAAAACAGACTGAAAGTATCGATACTAGCCCATGAGTATCGATACTTATGCAAAAGTTTCAATACTTTATATAAATATTTATACTTTTAAACATTCTGTTCTGCCCAGTTTCGAAACTTTCTAGGAGTTTCGAAACTATGACCCAAAGTTTCGATACTCTTACCCAAAAACTCACGAATATGCCCAAAACGAAGAACAAGTATCGATACTATCCCTATAGTATCAATACTCTACATGTAGAAGTCATAAAACAAGTAGTAAAAACTCTATTTTTCAATCCCAAAGACCCTAGTGAGGTCCCCAAACATTCTTTAAAGTCTTATGAGATTACAAGGAGCATAAATAAGGCTTTATACCATGCTTATAACATCAAAAGAACAATCTACCATGGAAATTGCTAAACATGCTTTAAACTTAACTTTCTAACGTATCTTAACTTTTCATGATCTACACTTGGTACGAGAAAGTTATAAATACGATACCGTACTGCCTTGGCTACTAAAACACCTCTTGAATCAACTAGGATTCACCCTACCTTAAAGAAAAACTCATTTTGAAAACTAATTCTAAAACTTACAAAACGGAGCTTAAAACAAAGCTTGAAGGATGGAGAGAAACAGTCTTACCTTGGCTACAACAAACTAAGCTTGAATCCTTAAAATTTTGCGCTTAAGAAAGGAAAAAGAAAAGAGAAAATGATGAAGAAGAAGAGAGGAGTGTTTGGTGAGAAAATGGTAGGGTGGTTCACGTAAACATGATATAAAAAGGGGAGGGTTTTTAGCTTTAAAACAATAAGGGAAAATTGCACTATTAGCCCCTCTACTTTCTCTTACATAAAACACTAATCACCCCATCACCCAAAACTTTTGGGCCCAACACAAGCCCACTAACATAAAATTGATTTTGAAAAGTTTTGTTTCAGACATTTATAATATTGATTAATTACATTTTGGTCATTGATTTGTTAACTTTAGTCAATTTGATCACACGATATGTTAGTCAAAAGGATTTTTAATTTGACTCTTATGATTTTGAAAATTCAATTTTATTCTCTTAAAAACCCTAAAATCTATTTCTTTCATCCACAAACAATCTCATTCTCTTCTCTAATCTAAATCCTAAGTTTGTTAATGTCATTGTCTTCATCTTTCGTTCGATGTTTGTGGTATCTTCCCTAAAACTAACACCGAAATCCTTTGAATAAATCTTTTTACAGTCAATGAGTCAAAGTGTTATGTACAATCTTGGATGCATGCGTTGATTAAAATGATCTTCCAACACATTAATGTACAATCTTAGCCCACTAATCTTAATTAAACCCAAAACTCAATTAGTCATAATTCAATATAATAATTAATCTTAAGTTTTCGGTGATCACTAGTGTAGTATTCCCTTAATTATTTAATTTAGTCATCTTTTTATTGAAACTTGGGCACACGTATAAAGATTCAATATTTGATTATAATTAATGTAATTAATTTAAATAAAAATCTAGACACAATTAATATGATTAATTTGAATTTCAACTTTTTATATTTTTTGTTTTGGTATTACCTAAAAATTTAATTCTCAAACATATAACAAATATAATGACACATAACGTTGTAATATTGTGAGGCAGTTTATTGAATAAGATATAATCATAAATAATTAAAGTGAAAATGAAACTAAAGATGAATGATTAAAATAAAAACGAAATTTAGGCAACGGGATGGTTCAAGTGATAATTAATTTTATATCTCTCAAACGTGTTTTAAGTTCTAGTTCTTATGTATATAGAAAATTCTTACTGATAGACTCACCACCAAAATCAAATATACGATATGAGTCGGTCCTTATCAATTAGGACAAATACTATAAGAGGAGGGCAAAAAAAACTAAAGGATCCATACAACAAAACAAAAGAAAGTGATAAACTAATAATTAATTAACCCTTCTGCAGTCCTTCCTGATCTCTCCCAGAGATCCAGTGAGGGGGTTAATGTCTCCCATCTTAATCATGGCTTCAACAAAATCAGAGCTGAAGGATCTCTGATCCTTACTGTATGCCCTAACAATGGAATCCGTTGATCCCCCACTCAACAGCTCTTGATCCGAGTGGAGCACTCCTCTTTTCCCGACAAGATTCTTGAAGTATTCTTGATACGGCCACTGTAATTTAATATTATGACGCATATATAGAAAGATTAGGAACCAGATAAAGCAACCAAGTCCCTGCAGGTGGAAAGACCAACGGCATTGAACCCAGAAGAGCTGAGTCAAGTTCGAATTTGGACGAGGAATGTTAGCATTCGCAGCAGTCTGGCTTGCAGTCCTCGAATCTCTTCTTCCAAGCTTCACTTCCCACTTGGGGCCTCCCAACTACGTATATGACTTTATGTTATGGTATGATCAATAAAAACATATAAAAAATATCTAAAATATATAAGAATTTGAAATTTTTAAAAGTCCATTATTATCTCATTTGATCCATCCCTATATATATATACACTTAATTATTACGACTTACATTATTGACAGAGTCTCTAGCAGCAATGGCCGCGATATGATCAGCGCAAGAAACAACACCGGGGCAAACGTTCTCAACTGCAGACTTTATGTCGTCGATCACGTCGAATCCCCGAACCAAGTTCACATTCGGGGCTGCATTTTTTTCTCCGGTAAACTACGGTGTGTCGTCCAGTAGCAGTGATCTATCGCATCCTTATCACCCAAAACTACACCACATTAACAAAAAAAAACCATGGAAATAACATGCATGATTTTCGAGATCAGGTGTAAATGATTTTAGAAAATACATTAACGAATCAATCATGGAAGAACAATCGAAGCAGCGAAGCACCCATACGGGCTTCTTGCCTTAAAGCAGAATGCACGGTGGATCTGACAGTTTGAAACAAGTTTGGACATGATTTCGAGTAAAAATTTGTTGAAAGTTGAGCGTTGCAGCTGGTGGTTCCCCAGAAAACCACAAGGAGAAGCAAAGCCCCAGAAGACTTGGAAAATGAAAATCCATGACGATCGAAATAAGTGAAGTGAAAAATGTGTTTTTAGGGTTATGGCTCTGAAACAAAACTGTGGCGATCCATCGTTTTATATAGAGATCTTCTCCAGGGTAATTATTGCACGGCAATGTCCACGTTCTCAATAATCTACTTATATTTTCTCTATTTACTATCAAACCCTTAACTTTTTTATAATAATTAAATATGATAACGTTTTTTCTTTTTCTTTTGGTATAATCACCATTTCTCATCAACAGGCTAAACAAAAACTTCAGATTATTAAATTAAGAATGGAACCCGAGGTTAATAGATTTCTATATAAATATTTTATTATTTTATCTATGATTATTTACTAAATATTTTCTAAAAAATATGTTTTTTTACATAGAATGTTGTTCCATTCAAACAATACAAAATCTCCTAATAATAAATTTAGGGGGTGTAGTCGAACTAAGCTTAGTGTAAGTTATAAAAAAACTTGAGCTTAATTCGAATTTTAAGGCTTTAATTAATTGTGGTTTATCTTAAATTTTGAATTAAATTTATGATAAAAATATTTAGTTATTTATTAATGAATAGGTTGATCTAGTGTAAGTTCAAATTATAACGTCCATGAATGGAACAAACTAAGTTTAAAGATTCATGCATATATTGGATTTATGCAATATTTAATCTGAATTAATTAATTTATAAATATCAATTATTAAAAAAAAATATCTAGCTGCATATCAAGAGTAAACTAGTTTCTTCATTGAAAATATTACTTCCCAGCGACTTGCTGATATGAATATAAATTTGTGGTAAAGGCAGTGTTGATTGGTACCCAAATTTCAAAGCCATTGTATTTGTACCCCAGATTGAGAGTGTTTAGTCCATTAAAATCTTTATGATTTGGTGAAGCCTTCATGTCTATCATACCTAAAATACATCACCAATTTGATTGATTCTCTTCAAAAAGAAGCAAATTAAATACAATTTTATGGTCATTCAACCAAAACAACCTTCTCTTTTAGCATCTTTGCTTTGATGAATTCAAAATCTCTTTATTTGTTACAACCCAACATTGATTATTAGACAGCATGCATTCATTATGTTTGGATTTGAATGAATTTGGTGATGTAATGTATTGGTATTAAAAAAATTCATTTGAGTATGTGATTAGAGAATTAGTATGCATATTCTTCTTAGGTGATCCAGGTTGGAATAAATTAGAATATAAATATATACTTGAAATGGAATATAAATACTATATTGTAATCATATTAGAATATTAAAAAAAACTAAACATTTAATATCAAAATTTTTATTATTTTATTTGTACTTTAGTCAATGATAATCCTGTTTATTGACGATTATGAGATTTTTCTAATTATAACATAATCGTTGAGAAACAATTAACCGATAACAGTTAACCGTTATAAATGGCTTAATTACAGGTTAACCTTGTAACACCCCAACCCTCAGGTTGAGAGTTTCAGGTTAATCCGAGAGAGGTTGAATAAACCCATTAACCTTAAGAAAGCCTTGGTCTAAGAGTTAAGTGGGTTTGGGCTTGGATTGGGGACAAATGACTTTGAAAAAGGTGTTTTCAATATTAGGATGAAAGGTGAAGGACTAAAAGAATTATTAGACCAAATTTTAAAACAAAGCATGAATACCCATTAATTTGCGTGATCTCACATTTGAACACTTCTTCCTCTTTTCCTCCACAAGTTTGTCTTATTCTCCTCCTTCGTCTCTTCTTCCTCTTCATAGAAACCAAGCAAAGATCAAAATTATAGTTCTCCAGGCCCTGTACTGATTTGCTAAGGTAAGATTTGTTGTCCTCACTCATAGAGTTTCAATTTAAGCCTTCAAACAAAGGATTTGAACTATTGTAGTCATAAATGGGTTTAGTGGGGTTTAAGGATTTGAGAGATTCCAGTCCATTTCAAGGGAGATTTAAGTTGTAAGAAACATTTTGACCTCTTCCTAAGCTAGTTAGTAACTCATTTATTTTGTCCTTGATTAGTGCAAAAGGTGGGAAAAGGCTACAAAGTCCAAGGTAAGGAGAAATTGCTCCTTGGGTGATTTGACAGAGAGTTTCCAGCAGTTAGGAAACTAAGGTAACGCATTTACACCTCTTTCATACCATTTGTGAGTCATTTGCATGCATCTAACTAGAAAGTTTGAGTTTTTGAGCATGAATGAGCTTCCATGGTAGATTTATGAAATTCATGTTATTAACATATTTAAAGACCTTTTATGACCCCTTATATCTTACATAAGATTTTAAGAAAACTTGGGAACCTCGATAGGACCTTTAAGATAATTTAATGAACAAATTTCGTGCCTAAATAAAGTATTTCTCGACACGAGTATCGGTATTAGAGGAACAATACTGATACAGTTCTTCAGATGGAAGATGAAAAGGGTTTTGAGGGCAACAATATCAATACTCTTTCAATGAGTATCGATACTATGGGTTGGGTCTTGTTACTTTATGGGTAGTATCAATACCAAGATCACTTAGCACATTTCAATATAGATATTTTATATTCGTTTTTTTTACTAAATTTGAACCACATGCTCCTAAACTATCGTAGAATACATATGTACTTTCAATTCTTCTTTTTAATAACAAATTGTCTATTTTTCAATTTAGTCTCTCAAATTTTTATAATTTCCTTATTTCTTAAATTCATCCTTTAGTTTAAGTCATTTTTTTACCAAATTTGAACCACATGCTCTTAAATCATCCTAGAATACATATGTACTTTCAATTCTTCTTTTTGATAACAAATTGTCTATTTTTCAATTTAGCCCCTCAATGTTTTTATAATTTCCTTATTTCTTAAATTCACCATTTAATTTAAGTCTATTTTTTACTAAATTTGAACCACATGCTCCTAAACCATCATAGAATACATATGTACTTTCAATTCTTCTTTTTGATAACAAATTGTCTAATTTTCAATTTAGCCCCTCAATTTTTTATAATTTTCTTATTTCTTAAATTCATCCTTTAGTTTAAGTCATATTTTTACCAAATTTGAACCACATGCTCTTAAACTATCGTAGAATACATATGTACTTTCAATTCCTCTTTTTATAACAAATTATCTATTTTTCAATTTAGTCCCTTAATTTTTCATAATTTCCTTATTTCTTCAATTCATCCTTATTTTAAGTCTGTTTTTACCAAATTTAAACCACATGCTCATGTACCACAATAGAATACCTATATAACTTCAATTCTTACTTTTTTACTAAAAATGTAATCTCTCTCTTTATTTAGTCCTTTAACTTTGCTTTTTACTCAATTTAGTCTTTTGACTACAATTTTTTGCAAATTCTTCATTCCCATAAGTTCATTGACTCCTTTATACTCTCATCAATATTTTACGCTCAAAATACTTTCTTTAAAATATAATATTATGAATATATTTCATAATTTTAGATTGTATTTGATATATTAAATAATATTTTAATGTGAAAAGAAAAGAAAATATATATATCTTATATGGTTAAAGGAAGTTAAAAAATTGAAACAAATCTTTGGCATAATACTATAAATAATTATAATAAAATTATTACAGAAACTCAAATAACTCGACTCGAAAGAATTTCAAGTTAAGTTCAAGTTGTAAAATATGATTCATCAACTCGAATAATTCGAAATTTTTTACTCAACTTGATCGAATGCTCACCCCTACCACTAATGACCAACCCCATGCCATGGAGTCTTTCTTTAACAATGACCTATAGCAGTAGTTGGTGCCATAAACATTGACATTTGATGGAGCCTTACACTGCCTTGCTCTAGTGGGGGAAGATAATTCAATGCATAATAATCCAACGTAGACTTGGATTTAAAAACAAAATTCGATGCTAGTCCAACTGCAGGCAGTTCCTCCTATTAACCAAAATCATTTTGGTCTAACACAAGCAGTTCCTCAACAACATTATATCAATAGTCCACAATTGCTAAGGAATCAAAAACCCTTTTTCTAAACATAGGAACATATAATGTCATATACAATATAAAACTAGTGGAAAGCAAGACTATAATGGTGATGATATGGCTAAGGTGAGATGATTATTTTGGTAACTATGGACAGAGAGTTTTACAGTGTTAGATCCACTTAATTTGCATTATCCTAAATCATTCAGTTCTATACATTTTTCCATCTAGTTTGACTCATTACCTGCTTCGACCTCCTCTTCCAGTTCAAATGCATCAACCTCTGCAAAATATGCTCTTTGTTTGTCGATGAAATCTTGGGGCAAATCATGCTTGGAAGCATTTATCTCAGCCTTCACTCGGCGTTGCTTCTGTAGTGACAATGCAATACGGAAGAAAAAAGCTCAAATGAGACAAATGTCGCGATATGAGTTAATGCAAAAGCAAACATCACTATATAATAACTAATAGTAATAATATAACTAAGCAATTTACAGATTGTAAAGTTGAATGATATCGCTGTTTAGCTTCCTGAAAGCATGCTTCATTGAGATTTTAAATTAAACTCCACTCTATAGATGTGTGTGAAAACCAAGACTACTCTAAATACAGAGAAGTGTCGCCTCAATTCTTGAAGAAATAGACAACAAGTTCATATAGTATAGACACTAACAAAATTTTCCGACATTTAATGCTCCAACAACAGAAAATGAAATCATTTTGAAGAGAAATTGATTTGATGAAGTGAAAAGATGAATAATTGCCGCAGCACTTATCCGTACCACAATCACCCCACTTCCCTCACAATCAAGACAAGGGAGAGGAATGTGTAGATATGTATCATTATTCAATACATAATATCAAACTATTGGATTCTATATATGCAAATCTGAAAAATTTTAAAGAGCTTTTTAAAGGTCGTCTTAATGAAGGCCCCAAACCCCAAACCAAAGATCAATAGCATGGTTATCCATTAAACACAAATCAAATTAAGATATTGGAAGTTTTAAGCGAACCTTTTTGTGTGGCATTGGACATGATTTGGATATACCAATATCACCATCTCCATCCTTTTTCCTATATTAAAGAGAAGAAGCAATAGTCATGAAGGAGGTAAAGTTCAAACTTTTATGTTCCAAGATTTGAGGTGAACAATCATTTTCTGAAGCGATCAAAGAACCTTGTATTAGAAAATATCATGACTTCAATTGGAAACAGCTGTTAAAAAAAAAAGGGAAACACAAGCATCTAAAGTAAAAATGTTTTAAAAGGGAACAATAGTCATTCATTCTGATCAGACACTATCTCCTTCAAGATTCAGTTATAAAAGGAAAATGGCCAATATATGAATGAAAATGGATGCAAAATGACCATTAGTAAATCGTTTAACAATTACTGCAGGCTTTTTTTCTTTCTACTGTCCAATGCATGATTATGAACATCTGGTCAAGGTATCAAATGTACATACATTTGGTGCATTTTATTGATCAAAATAGTGGAGTCCTCATCTTGTAGGCATTGTCTAAAAACTAACCACCCACAATGTAGAGCGAATGCTTAACAAAGCTTCCTTCATTTATCATCTATCTAATGTTTTACTACTGCCTACAAGTTACAACAAAGAAATCCGATTTGACTGCATTGAAGTCTAACATACCAACACATTTTAAGTATCATTTGCCTTCTAAAGTCATCAAAGAGTAAAAGTTATCCAAAGACTTACTAACAAACCAACAAGTAATGCAAAATTGATCAAAAGAAAACCACCTTAAGTCGGGAATCCTAGTTCCAAAAATGCAACTCAACGGCTCAGCAACTCCCTTCTCTTTACTCTTCCTTCTCTCAGCAGTTGGTCTCTTGTAAACTGTACAAGACTCAAAATCAGCACAATCACCAAAATAGATGCACAGTCCAGAAAACTAGGGACAAAAAAGTAGTTGATGTTCATCAACTTCACAAAATTTCCAACACATAGAAGACAATTCAACTGTAATTTCTGCAAAAGAAAAAGGTGCTTCCAAATATAAGAAACTTAAATTGGAATCACAGCCTATGTAGATTGCGTTGAAAATGAAGAAAATGAACATTCAGTAAAACTACTAAAAACCTTAATTCAAATTCATAGAGTAATTTTAGAAGAAAATCTATATAGCTTAAATTGAACACACAAAGTTCTGTTGTTGCAAATTGTTACCAATTCATTAGCATTAAAACGAAAATCCAGATTCTAGACAACCCATAACCCCCAAAATCAAAACCCTATCTAATCAAAACCCAGATAAAACGGAGAACCCATCCCATCAAAATTACCCGAAATAAAAGGCGATTCTGACGGAGTAGACAGCTTGGAGCTAGGATTCGCCTTGCTATTAGAACTTTTCCTATTCTCCTTGTCATTGTCCTTATTAACATTTACAGTGGACCCAGTGGCAGTAAGAATGGAGTTGGGAGGAATGGATTTAAGAGATGATTTGATTTGGGGTTGGATCAAAGTAGTAGAAGAAGAAGAGGATTGTGAAGAAGGCTGAGATGATGGGTTATATTGCTGAGATCGATGAGGGGCTTCCTTTTTCTGCCGGATTTTCTTCTCGTTGGTGATTTTGTTCCTTCCATTCTTACCTCAATTCCCCAGAAATGCAAGCTTCAGTTCCTATTGGGGGATGATTCTGGTTTTGGGTTGGCGGGAAAATTCAGTTTTTTATTGGGCCATGAACCAAATATATTAATAAATACTGATGATTTGGGTTTTAAAATGGGCCCTTAATCAAAGTTGGATTCCGCTAATCAAATGTATTTTTAAGGTTAATGATAGACTGATCTATAGATTAGAGTGAGTTGGTTTTAACCACCGACCCACATGGTGGCATTCTTACGCTTAAAAAATTATTATTTTTTAATATTGGAGATGGAATTAAATATTTATATATCTACTTTTTTATTTTAAAAAAGTTTAACATTTTTTTTAGTATAAACCACCAATTTTCAATATATTAATTGATTAATCTGAATCGGGTATTACAGAGAGCATATATATTAATAATATAAAAGAATGTTGAACTTAAACATGTGGTATAACTAAATTAGTAACAGATTTATAAATATTTTTAAAAAAAAACATATATATATATATATATGTATATTAATAATATAAAATTAATGCATATAGATAATAATTTAAATGAAGCATAATTAATAGAATAAATAACCATTTGAATTTGAAGGTAAGCATTTACTTATCCACCCTCCCCAGTGAAGAAATATTCAAAGTTAAAATACGATACTTCGACCAACAACCATTTGGTCTAGTGGGATGAGGATTAGGTCCCTTAAGTAAGGTTAGGAGTTCGAATCTTAACGTTTGCGAATGGAACAAACTGAGTTGGGAGAGTCGTCCTCTCCTCTGCAGTACCCGATTTGAATTAGTCAGTCAATAGATCGGATACCAGTGATTAATTAAAAAAAATATGATACCTCAAGGAAACATGTGAAAACTTACGATGAAACCAACTTATTTTCCTCCAATTTAGTCTTTTTTTTTTTCCTTCATCGGTATTATAGCAATAGCGGTAGGTGGATCAGTAAAAGAAGAAGTTGAAATATTTTAGCAGACATAATTCACACTTTAGAAACCGATGAAAGTGGCCCACAGCATCCAATCTAGGCACATGTTGAAACAAAACAAAGTGAAACATTAGCGGGTACCGATAAAACCAGACAGGTGGAAGCCTCTTGTTTAACCTTATCCAATGTTCCAAAAAAAAGTGAAACCTCAAAATCCAGGGGCCACCTCAAAACACTTTGAAAATCATTCCATTTACTCTATAAATAACCCCAAAATCCCCCCTTCATCTCCCAGTCCAACTACTAATTTCTTCTGACAGCAAGTAAAAAACAAAGGGGTCCGAGATGGAGGCAGTCCAGACCTGGGTCTCGAATCACAAGCTCACCAGCATTGGTCAGTGTAATTCCTTTTCACATCCCTTTGCATTGTTGTAGGTTTGGTTTTTATACATAATATGGAGCAATGTTGGGTGTTGCAGGAGCAATCTGGGCATCAGCTGTTGGGGCATCACTGGCTTATAATACTTTTACTGGTGCAAAGACTCCCCTTAAGCCAAGCCTAAGGCTTATACATGCCAGGATGCACGCACAAGCCTTGACACTCGCGGTGCTGTCGGGTGCAGCAGCTTACCATTACTATGAAAAGAACACCAGCAGCAAGCAAGAAGAAGCTGTCCATCGCTGATTAAAACAGATTTCATATGTAACCGTGGCAAATCAGTATGTGGTCTGGCGATGATGACGAAAAATGTTGGAATAAGTTGATGTTGTGTGCTTTTGTTGATGTTAATGGTGCCATGTTTCAAGTTTGTCTACCTTCAAAAACTGCTGCCGTTGCCACCTTTTTCATCTCTCCCCCATGGACCCAAGAAAATTGAATGTCTGAAATAATTTTGATATAAACTAAAAATGGGAGAATGGATGTTAGATATAATTAATAATACTAATAAATGTAACCGCATCAAGTATTTTATGTAAAAACATTTTTATAAGAATTTAATCAATAAGGTCCATTGATAGTTAATCTGTATATGAAATTATTAAATGTTAACGCTTGCCTCGACCTGCAGCGATATTGGAGGATGGCAGCAGCTACGGTGAATCCTATAACCCTACTTATGAAATTATAATCAAACTGATATAATATATAATTTTTAGGGAAAAGGTTAATGCGTCCTTAACTTTCAAAAATAAATCAATGTGGTCATCATAATATTTTTTTATATCAATGTGACCCTCCAACTCAGAAAACAAACTTAATGTGACATTTTGACAATGTTTTCGTCGTTGACCGTTAAAGTACTGACATGGCAGTCCACTGTGGCAGATGGACTAAATTCTTTTTTTTTCGAGAGTTAAATTGATTTTTTTTAAAGTTCAAGGACTTATTTAATTTTTAAAAAAATAAAAAATATATTTTAAATTATAAATATAAAATTATTCAAATATTTAAAAATTAAATATAAAAAATTAAATAAAAATTAAATTATTAAAAAAATTGTATATTCATACTAAAATACCAAATTTATTATAAAATATTTTAAAATTTTGAATATATATCATAGGTTATAAAATGATAATTTATAATTTATAAATTATAAAAAAATAAAAATATTTTTAAAAAGATATATTATCCATAACATATACATGTTCTTAATATTATTGATAATCGATATTCACATAATTTAAATTAGTCGAGACTTACAATTTTTGGATTAATCAAAATTTACTATGTATTCTAATTATTTTTCCTGTAAGTCTCAAATTTTTTATAACAATTTTGATAACATGTATATATGTTACATGTATATGTTATTTATAATATTTCTTTTTGAAAATATTTTTAAATCTTTTGATATTTATAAGTTATCATTTTATAACATTTGTTATATATTTGAAAAAAAAAATTATAATAGTTTTAGTATTTTAGTATAAATATAATTTTTTTTAATTTTTAATTTTTAATTTTATTATTTTTTATATTGAGTTTTTTAATATTTGAGTAATTTATATTTATAATTTAAATTATTTTTATTTTTTTAAAATAAATAAGTCTTTGAACTTTAAAAAAATAACCAATTTAGCCCGCGAACAAAACTAAAAAAAACCAATTTAGCCCATCTTCCATGCCATCAACCACAGTGGTCTGCCATGTCAGCACTTTAACGGTCAACGACGGAAAACGTTGGTCAAAGGGTCACATTGAGTTTGTTTTATAAGTTGGAGGGCCACATTGATTTTTTTAAAAGTTCAAGGACCTTATACGCCTTTTTGCCTAAATTTTAAAATTTTAAATTATTATTATATTATATTACGTCACAACCTCGTTAATTATTGTAAATAAAATAATAAAAAATTGTAACACTAGTGATTATATTTACAGAAAAAAATTTAATAATTAAATTTAAAGATGAATAATAATTTGAAGAGAAATATTATAATTACCCTATTATAATACATTTATTTTAAATATTTTACCAAGCTGATCTAAATTCTAAATACAGTTTTTTTTTTGTAAAAGACCTCAATATTTCGGCCTTCACGTTTTACTTAAACTAAATATTTTTAAGTTTTAATAAAAAAAAATAATACTAAAAATTATATGATGTATTTTACTGTCAAATAAATTGCAATTAACATATCCAAATATATTAAGGGTCCATTTGTTTGGAAGAAAACGTTTTCATAATTTTTCTATGTTTGATTCAAAGAAAATGTTATGATCAACTGAAAATATTTTGCGGTCAAAGGGAAAACATCCCTCTTTCGCCGTAAAACAACTTACCCTCCCAAATTGCAAATAGACCCTTAATAACAAAGCTACAAGTTCTACACCTCAAAGGCTAAAGAATTAATTTTATAAATTAGAAAAAAATATAAAAAAAAACTATCGATAATGACCACATTCAATATGTAGATGAGAAACTTGGTAAGATTACTGAAGCTTTGAAAAAATTTACAAAGAATAAAACACCACATCTTTATGGTGGCGACTTTCTTTGTGATGTGTTATAGTATTAATTATGCGCTTAGACAATATTTTAACTTTAAATGTGTTGTAATATATATTAATTATGAATATCAACAACTGTTTATTGTGTTGTAGTACTAATTATAAGACTATGTTATTATCTTATTATGAACATCAATAAGTAGTACTAATTATAAGAGTCAAAATATCTTAAAACAGTCGCCATAGCAGTTCATTCTGTGGCCTTGGCTACCTTTAAACTTACTATCGTTGGTAGAAAAGGAAAAGCTGGAGTTAATTATGTTTAATACTAATACATGATTGTAAAAAATACCTATAAATTACGTTTTTATATAAGTAAAACATTATATTTAATGATTGCAAAATATAATCTTATAATAATAAAATTAAATTAATAAAATTAAAAGATACAAAATCAAGAAAATTCATGAAATATGTATGTTTATTTCACAAAAACAAATTCTAAAAATTATTTTAGAAAAATTAACCAAACAACGGAAAAATATTTTACACTACAACATCCAAACAATGAAAATTGTTTTCAGGAAATATAATTTATTTTTCATAATTTATTTTTCGGAAACGGTTTTCAGTGAAACAAATAAACCCTAAAGTTCACTTATTTTTCTTTTTAAATAAAGGGTTAACTACACTGATGATCATTTATGTTTGTGTTTTATCTATTTTTGGTCACTGATTTTAAAAAACATAAGATATAGTCACTTTCGTTTTTATTTAATTAAGATGTGGTCACCTTGAGTCAACTTTCATTAATAGCAGTTAAATATCTTAATATAATCACACATTTGGTCTCTGCTATTTACATATCCTCTCAATTTAGTCTTACATTTAATAAATTAAAATGAATTTAATCCTCCAATCGAATGATGCCACATGTCATTCCACGTGTCAACACTTAGTTGGAGTACTAACTTTATTTTAATTTGTTATATTTATTTCCACCAATTAAAGAGTGACACGTGTCATTCTCCGGTTGAAAGAAAACAAAAGAAAACAAATTGGGGCAAAAAAGTTTCAAAACTTGGTCAGTTAATAAACTAAACATATATCCAACCATTAAGCCAAGACCATTGTTTGGTCTAAAGTAGACAATATGATGTATATATTTTACATCTTAGTGCATAAATACTTAAATTCATAACATTTTATATATTTTAACTTAAAAACCATTTTTATATTAACTTATTAAAAATATTTTAGTATTAACTTAATTTAAAATATTTTATATTATTTTTATTTAAAAATATATACTTTATGTTAAAAATTATTTAAAAATATGATTAAATTGAAAGAATAGATAAATAACAGGGACCAAATCTGTGATTATACCAGCTATCATATCACATATTCTATCATTGTTAAAATCAATTAACCCGTGGTGACACGTCTTAATTAAATAAAAATAAAAGTGATCATACTTTAATTAAATAAATATGAAAATGATAATATCTTATATTTTTGAAATTAATAACAAAAAGTAGATAAAATACAAACATAAATAATCATCGATGCATTCGACTCTTAAATAAAATATTTGAAAATGTTTATATTTTATGCCTAAGGCCCAACGCGTTTGAAGACCCAAATGAAGAACGAAAATCCTCTGACCCTTTTTGTGTCCCTCCAATCTTTTATTTACACGTGTAATTTCTGCTTCACAGTAAAACCAATGCAATCTTTCAAAAAGATTTATTTTCTCATTCTACTTTATCCTCAACTTCAGAAAAAAACCGTAGAAATCACCATTGAACCATATGATTCAAGGTATCTTTGATCTTCCTTAACTTTACAATCATACTGCATGATTTCTATTCGATCTTTCGTTTCATCATCAGTAGATTTAAATCTTTCTCGGTAACAATTTTTTTTTTAATATTTTGCTTTTCTTCCTCTGTAACAATAAAGAAAATCTGCAGAAACAGCGAAAAAACTTCTAAAGTAACCGCTGAAAATCACACGAGACCGAGGATCATTTAAACATGTCGTTTTAGGAACTGAAAACTGTGATCAAGAATGAGTGGATGACTAAAATCGATTGGCTGTTCGAGGAAGAAGAACCCAGTTTGAGTGGATGACTAAAACCCACGTGTGGGTCTTCTTCTTCCATTAAACCACCGACGATCATTCCACGGCCATTTAATGAAAGACTTAGATGGGTTTGAACTTTATTTTTCTTCTTCTTCAACCACCCACGACTTTAAATAGCTTTCGCCTCTTTAGAGATATGAGTTTTGGACTTCTGTTTAGAGCAAGTTATTTGCTTACAAGGGTGAATGCTTATCTTCACTTATCAGTGCATGTTAGGCTAGTGATAATCTAACAAAGATGGTTACTATCACTTCTTCTCCTTCATCCATTCTATCTTCTTCTTCTTCCTCCTCTGCACGTGTTATTGCTTCTTCTTCTTCTTCAAAGCAGAAAAGGTGAAGCTTCATGGAAATGATAAAATCTGCTAAAGGTAGCTCTTTCGATGATGATTGTGAAGAAGATGAAGAAGCAAATACGGCCTTGTTGTGTACATCAGTTTGGGATTCTATGAGGTTCTATAAACAAGTATTGGGCTTTGTTCCCATCAAAAGCCCCTCTTCTTTCAAGTTCAATGGAGCTTGGTATGCTTACTGCCCCTCTCTTTTAGTTTTCCATTAAATGTCTCACTGTCCATCATGACCAAATATGCAAGTTATATAACTATGGCATTGGCATACACTTGATTAAGAATCCATTTATGGACGATTTCGATGCTCTCGTTGAACCGCCACTAATCAATCCCAAGGATAATCACATTCACATATCATTCCAGGTATAACTCGGCCTGAAACTAGTTTATATCACTGGTTATGAAAATGTTTTTGTCGAAACCGTTAACAGTGTAGGGATGAGGGGCTCATGCAGAGGAGGCTCGGAGACATGGGAATGAAGTACATGGTCGTGCTCTGCAACTGTGAGAACATCCTAATCCTTCAATCACAGCAGTTTCAACAAGGCTGCACCGGGTAGTTGTTTTAATGATGTGTGACTTTTAAAGAGGAGGAAGTATCGAATCAATCGATATAAGATGTTGTTTTCATGACGGAGGAAGAAGAAGTTGGGTGGGTTTTTTTGAATAGTCAACGTGGGGTCTTTTTTAATATTTTTTATTGCCAACTCAGATTTTCGTTAATAAGTTAATGAAGTTAACGATCGAATAATTTAAATTGGATGAATCAATAACGTAAAGAACCAACCACACTTTATTAAAAAAAAGTAACTAAATCGAAAATAAATGAGACATATGTCATAATTTACACTATTATATATCTTATTAAACATATCTTTTGAAAATGGTGACAAAAACTATTAATAGTACTATAGGTGAAGAAGTGGAGTGTTGGCCCAAATATCATGGCCATTGATCCCAATCGGACATGAAACCAGAACATGCAGGCTCCTCGAGTAAAGATTCATGGGTCTGGACTGGAGTGGACTCACATTGGTCCCCCAGTGATCCAAACTCTTTCACTAACTGGATCATCAGTCATCCCCATGTAACCTGCAGTGAGGGCTTCAATGAAATAAACAGATCTTGAAATGAGGGGATGATGCATTAGCATATATGGTTCCATGAGACATATTTTTGGAAATGATGGGGATGCTGGTCAATGGAGACGCAGGTAGAAATTTTTATTGGGGGTAAATTTAAGAAGTTATATTAAAATTGTAAGAAGTACGAAATTATAAAATTTTAGAGGTTTGAAATAAAATAACTAATAAAAAAATACTTACAAAAAGATTGAAATTTTACGACTAGACTCATTTTCTCACAGATAATAATGGTTGTTTTATTGAATAAAAATATAATAAAAGTAAAAGAATAATCTACAAAATTAAAGTAGATTATTCAAAGTGCACAACCTAACCATTGAAAAATAAAATAATATCATTTAAGGAAATGATTAAAAACTCAACCAACTTGAAGAAATGGTATATATAAACAAACATCACTATAACAATGAAGTATAGTGTCATCAATACTAACATAAAAGTACATATAATGATGACGACGAGTTGACAAACTAGTTTTTATCACAATTTAATCATGACATATCTCGATGGTTACGAACATCTATCAATAAAAGAGAACCAATTTGAAAGTTCAAAGGAGGGATAAATAAGCAAGATAACCTTATAAATCCAATTAGAGAGATGAGTCAAACTCAACTATGAGAATATTAATTAAACAAAATAAGATAATATAGTTTTTATATATATATATATATAATGAAAATATGATAAAAATATAATGAAGTTTATTTACAAAGTTCAGAAACGTAAGAATGGAAGATAACCGTGTTTCGGATTGGGCTAAGGAGATAAAATGTGGTTCTGGTAGGCTCCCAACATTGTATCTGGGCTTGCCTATCGGAAATTCTTCAACCTGGACTATTAATCTGGGATTTCACACTTATGGCCGGGGAAAGGAGAAAAATCTCTATCTTTATTCACTGCAATACTACCGAATCATCCCCACACTCTCTCTTTCAATACCGATTGGCATAGTTTATGCAGTTATTGCTCCATTGTTGCTTCCTTTCCTTGTTGTTTACTTCTTCTTTGGCTACATTGTGTATATCAATCAGGTAACGTTATGTTGTTCCGAGTTACATAGATTTTAACTTGGTTTGCTGTGGCAACTGAGTGCTTTATTTTTGCAGATTCGGGATGTATATGAAACTGCTTAAGACACATGTGGTACATTTTGGCCATTCATCCATCATTACATAATTGTTGCTATCATTCTTATGCAAATCACAATGATTGGCCTCTTCGGACTGAAGTCAACTCGTACTGCTCGCCGTAATGTTCAACGAGTACTGCAAGATTCGGTTTCTTCCTACATTTCGAAGTCACTCTATTCAGGTATGTTTAATTTTGTTCCTTGATAGCTAAGCAATCACAGGGTTTCCGACTTCATATCGGGATCTGATCATCGTCTTGTGTACAGAATGCAGTTGAAAACGATGAACTTGATGAGAGAAAAGTGGGGAGATGGGGGAATGCAATTGAAGAGTATCGGCAACCATGTTTGCGACCGGTGAGTTGTACGGAATCCGACTCTACCTTCTATCAGCCTTTGATTACTTCATTGTAGTTTTGATGTTGGGCATACATTTTGGGTTCAAATCTCTTTCATTTTTCATCCCACGTGAACATTTTAGAATTTCCAGTCGAGACACTGGTTGAACTTAGTGCAACGATATTGGTTGCAATGTTCACAAGATGAACGTATAATGGTGGATGCACAGATTAGGATATCGTATTCACTCTCAAGTGTTGTGTGCACACAATTCACTCTAAAGTAGATGCATGTATAATTCAAGATACTCACGTATTCACCTTAAAAGTTAAATTTGAATAATTTAAATTCATTTTAAAAATTATAATTTTAGTAAACCATAATTTCTTAAAAATAATTTGGCAAAGATTTCGCCAATATATCTTTTGCCTTTTGAAATAATAATATAACATAATATAATCCATCATTCTGTTAATGTTACATGAAACATTTGTTTTATTTCGACTTGACATATTTAATATTTTTCAAATTTGATAGAATCAATTTAGACGAGTTCAATCTATTATGAAATATATAGAATTTTATCGAAGTCAATTTTAATTATTTAAAATTTTTAATATCTTATGCACGAATTAAGTGACATCGATAGTTTAAAGGGCTTATTATCCTGTCTGAGATTTGAGCATCACATATACCAAGGGTATGAGATTTATCAAAAAAGATACTTTATAAATAATACTTTAATTTTTAGGACACGTTAAAATTAACACGAATTTAATTAAACTTAGGGTTAATCTTTAACCACTCAGATTTAAATATACACATTTATATATGTATTTAATTAAAAAATTAATTTTTTAATTAAGTGGACAAATATTACATTCTTAAAGTGAATATCCAAGTTTAAACTCACACGAAATGAGACAATATGAACATCATTAACCACTTGGCGAATCAATATATCTCAACTTGTAATATTTAATTTAGTCTTAACAATAAAAAATAAAATCTAGTTTACTTTATGTCCCAAAAATAGATTTGATAAGTTCAAAATTTTAACACATTGAATATTTAACGAAATATTGTCATGTAAATAAGTAACTTAAACAAAATCATTAGGCTTTTCAACAAATTTATGTATCATTCCATGGCTGAAAACCAAGCTACTTCAAAATGGTTTTGGCAATCTGATCGAAAACATAATTATTACATAACCCTATGTACAAGCAAGCAGTTCCAAATCATGTGTTTCTTTCTTCCTAATCACATCAAAATACCAATCAAACAATCCATGGTTCACGAATTCAAACAAATATATATATAATATAAGCGACTGAATGAATAAATCAGTCAGATTTTTCCACCAAGTAAGGTGACCAAGAATTTTCTGTAATCTCCGGAAGTATCATCAGTTACTGCAGCATCCAGACTGGACTTGTAAATGTTCAAATATTCCGACTTTACTTTCATCATGTCGATCTCTGCTCTACTTACTATAGCTCTCGTCAGCGAATCTTCATCGGTTCCCAGTCCGATGATTGCAGTTCCTACAATCTGTTGATGATAGATGAAAACAAATCTGATAAAAAACACTCCCTAAACTGAGGTTGAAAGCACTACTGTACCACAAATTCCACAGCTTTTACTTGGTTTTAGCAACAAAGTAAGTTTGCAATATCATGTCCGACACATATCCGAACATGAATCAGAGGATAACCCTCCGAGCAAGAATATAAACTTGGTCATTATCGAGTTGTGCTCGAGCAGCTAAAGCTATTGAGCGAACTGAACTCGAATAACTTGTGAATCTAATCAGAAACTAAATACTGACCTGTGCAAAGTGCTTCTCTGGGGAAGCAATGCATACAATAACCATTTTCAAAAGTGATTCCAGATCACCCTTCCCGGATTTCATGATGTCCTGACAAAAAGAAAAGGAAAACAAAAATTACATCTGCGATGGCGATAAACGCAAATAAAAAATGCGCGCTAGACCACAAGTAGGTTTTTTTGTAGACTACATAATGCTTAAAGATGAAACCAGAACCTCATCAATAGGATTTCCATGTTTTTCTTTGTAGTGTTCAAATGTAGCCCTGAGCTGATAGAAGTTTCTTGTGGAAAGTATATAGACTACATCATCATGAGCCAAATCCTTGCTTTTGATAGACTCATGTAACCTATTTGCCTCTAGCTTTGCCACATCCTTGTCCACCATTTCCTTGTCATACCTGTATGATGTTACTAAGCCTACCAAATCTGCATTACCAAAAAAAACATGTCAACTTGTTGCTTTGCAGCTATGGTGTCTTTGGATAGAGATCCCTATGTTGACATGAGCATTTTAATAAAATGAAGACCGAGAGCAACTTAGGCTCTGACTCTTCATTTTCCTACAAGAACACATATCCGACACCCATGTATGAAGGTTAAATCAGTTAAGCACTGGTTCTGATTAGTTACCTTTCTGAGAGGCATAGGTACTGAAACTAAGATATCTTCCTCGAGGGAAGAGTTGAAGAGATCGCAATAGGCCTTCCTTACTCCCACAAGATGCTGAGGAGACGACGCACACGACATCTCAACAATGACCTCTAGATGCTTGATACCTTTCTTCTTCGACTTCAATACTTCATTTGCCAGTCTAGCATCTCTCTCACACGGATCATATGTCCAAAGAATGACAGCTTTCTGGTAAACATCACAAACTTTTATTTCCTAAGTATGAACCATAGGGATTCACATGGATTGAGCATTAGTTTTCGGAAATTAAATGCTTCTTCGAAACCTATTTTGCCCCTACTCCATATCCGACATCCATGTCGGACACATATTTGAACAGAGATATGAAGATACAACACTCCACGGACACCCTAAAACATAGAAAAACACGCACCCGTATCTCGAACTCGTTATTTAAATCTGAGTAACCTAGATTAAAGCCATGGCAAAAGTTCCAAGAACATATACATATTCATATCTGCCACTCAATACTCCAGTCCTATCAACCAAGGATTTCAATTTTCAAGGTTCTGAATTTTAAGGGTATGTTATTGAATCATTGAAACGATACGAAATTCACATCGATCCCAATCAAATCAACTAAAGAACTATGTATGTAATCAACAGTAAGGAACAAAGAACAGAGAAGTACATACTCCGAAATCGCCAGAAACTTCTTTATTAAGACCATCAATGAGAGTTTCATTGAAAAGCAGGCGATAAGTTTCTCTAATCTTCTGCCTCTGATTAGCATCTCTGTGGCCTAATATCTCAATGATCGCGTCCTCATCTGTCCCCAATCCTAAACAATTCCCCAAAAACAACAACATCAAAACAGATTCTGGGGAAACAAACGGAAAAAACAAAAAGAGAGAACCTATAAAAGCGTTCTTGATTTTCTGAGCGTCTTCTGCAGGAGAAGGAACGACGTCAAGTGTTTTGAGCGAAGCCATTCCTCCAAACTTAAAACTAGATTCAGGGATGTGAGTTCTCGGTTTACTCGTGAAAAGTTTCTTAAAACTCTTCATTAATGCTCCCTCTCAGTTTCTTATGTACCTTCTTCGGTTTCTGTTGTATTTCCCTCCTAAATGTTTGCTCAATATCAGGAGTTATAATCGCTTTAATTGTTCTATTTTGATACAGATTAAAGCAGTTTCAAGCATATAATATTATTTGGCACTTTCGTCACAAAAAATGAGATGACCATATTCCCTTGTGTAATGGTAAGATAGGATAGTAGACTGACCCCCAACGTTATATTGAGAGTAATTTTCGTGAAAAACCTTCGGCAATTATGAATTGTCCATCGTGAGACTCGATCCCACGACCACAAGATTAAGAGCCTTACGCTCTACCAACTGAGCCGGACGGACAATTTGACACTTTATTTTATGGGTAAACTACACATATAGCACCTATACTATTAATTTTGTTTTGTTTTGTATCTAAACCTTTATTTTTGAAAACATATTATACCTAATGTTTACTTCTTACTTCGTTTTGGTACCTTATAGTTAAAAATTTAAAGGGATTATTGTATGTGGATTTTTATGGGTAAATTACATAATTCATCAGTCAATCATTTTTTACTCTTATTTCGGTCACTAAAGTTTTTTTAATTTACTTATTTAATTTTCAATTTAAGAGTAATTTGATCACTCTAACTTTCAAATTTATTTTTTATTTTAATTATATATTAATAAAATAATAATAAAAATGTCATGTAACAAAAATTATTAAGAAATAAATTAAAGTGATTAAAACATGCGCAATTTGAAAGTTGTGTAGTTAAAATGAAATTTTTTAAATTTTACTAACTAAAATAGGAGTGGGAAAATAATTGAATGATAAATAATATAATTTAGTCATAAAAATATCACATACTATAGTTCTGTTAAGTTTTTAATGACGAAGTACCAATATAAAATAAAAAGTAAACAATATGTATGCTTTTAAAAAATAAAAGTTTTGGTACCAAAACGAGATAAAAGTAATAGTTTAGATACTAAATGTCTAGTTTACCCTTATTTTATTGACTTAATTTGCCTAATTTTATATACTCTGAATTTTGTGAATAATGTCATTATCAAATTTCTTTTATTAATAAAAATCCGGAAAACAAGAAAGAAAAATGCTAAAATACCCTTTGGATTTGACAATTTTTTTTTGTAAAAGCTTCCATCTAGTTTTACAATATGGGAATTTTCGGTACCATTGAATGCCATATTTAATGCCGGTTTCCATGAGTTAATTATCCGCTCTTTACAGAAAAACCTTAGCAAATTTATTATGACTGCATTCGTTTAGGGTTGTGGTAATCAATGACAGCTGTCAAGCTGGAAAGTTGAGTGTATAAAAACAAAATGTTAATTTCTGATGTTACTGTCTGAAAATCATTTTGCCTGATAATATTCTGAAATGTGTTTCTCGTGTTGTTTGTAGGTTGACGTCTCTCTCTTCTTTCAATTTTGCGTATGATATTTAACAATATTTGATAGGTAACACTTGCTTGATCAAATCCACATTTTCCAACTACAAGGGATAAGATTTTTTTTTATATTAGATTTTATTATATTTATGATATATATATATGTAATATACATTTATATTTATATTTAGAACATAAATAAATAGAAAAACGATAAAATATAATTAACAAAGAGTGGTGGAATTCCTTTAATTTCTTTTTAAAGAAAAAGTAAAAATCCCAGCTGTTTATGATTCTTTCCTGGCTAATTAGTGAATAAATACACCTATAATGTATACTTTTCTTTAGTGATACAACTCAAAAGAGAGAGTTTATAATTAAAAATGCATAAGAGAGAAAAAGAACAAAGTTTGCAGTCGGGAAATTTTGATAGCATATCAGGTGTATCCAGATGCATTGGTTCTAACCATTTGTATCAGATCTATCGATCAACTAATTCGGATCAGGTATTGTAAAGGTAAGGACAAGTTTTTCAACTCAATTTACTTCATCAGCAATCGTCATGATTTAAACCAATGACTTTACTTAAGGGATCTAATGTTTCATCTCATTAGACCAAACGATTAAAAATTCCATAGAGACAATATATTTTTATCGTTCTTCGAATTTGGGAGAGAATTTCATAAACAAATCAATACCAAAGTTTTGTGTTTATTTTAATTTTTTTTACATATTTTAAAGTTATATTTTATATTTAAATATATTAGTTTTGCAATTAAAATAGAGGTACTTATTAAATGAAAATGGTTGAGTAGGGACTAGGGAGGATAATGATTGAAAGATGGATGAAAGATGGATGGAGAGAAGTTTGGATTTGTGGTGGATAGTCAATATATAGTACTGATCAAATAATAATGCTGTGCATGCGACATGCTTCTATGTGAAAATATCCAAAGCAAGGGGGCCGGGGTATTCACAATAAACACGTGCTGTTTTATTGGAAATGTGAATCAAGAGAGAACATGCACAACATTACAAGCATCGATCTTTCTTAGAGATGGTAAAAACAAGGATTTGAGATGAATTTTTTTATTTAAAATTTTAGGGTTTGATTAATAGGTTTATAGCGACGTTTTCTGAACCAGCGTCGATAACTTTATTGTTACCGCAGTATTTTTAGAAAAAACGCCATAAAATAACAAATTTGGCGACGTTTTAAGCAAAAAAACCGCTAAATACTCATATTTTAATGACGATTTTATACAAACACCGCTATTGACTAATACTTTAGTGGCATATGAACATTAAGCTATCGGTGCTGTTTCTAGAGAACCTTACTTTTGTGGTTCATACTAACTTAAAATAGACTCAGTTTAATGTGAAAAGATGTTATAATAAAATGACGGTGGATAAGTTAATATTTCAACTCTTAATTTTATTTAGAAGATTATTTTAAATTAATTAATAAAAATATATATTTTTTAAATTGAAATATATTAAAGTTTAAAAGTAATAGATTACTTTTTTTATATCTTCCTTGGGAAAGATCACAAGTACACGAAACATATAAATATAAGCACAAATTATTATTTGTTTTTCTAACAATAAAAATATTCCCAAGTCAAAGGATATATGACAAATCTAACATCATATAGATATAATCATCTCTTATTTTATTTTTAATTATAAAAAAGTCATTATCAATTTATAGTATATATTATCATTATAACAGTCAACAACGTGAGGTTGGAACATTTTACATTTTAAAGATTAAAAAAAATAAGAAAAAATAGCACGCGTTATATCTTTTTGTTTTGTTTTTTTGTTCTTCATTTTCATCTTTGTATTATACAATAACATCAATAAGGGAAGAACGAGGCTTAAAACAACATCATAAATCATAATAGTAAAATATCAACATCTTCATCACTAATTATTCTAACGTCTCTTAATATTTAAGATTACATACAGATTGATTAAAAAATTTCTCACGTTTTTAGGAACTTAATTATTAATGTTTTTGATGTAAGTGACTTTTCATTTTGTAGTCTCTCGTTGATTCTATCATCTTCAAAGTTTCTTTTAATGTCATTGATAAAATCTTTGAAGAACATAAGAGAGAAAGTTTATAAATCACTAAAATTCAAAGTGTATGTGTGTAAATTATTTGAAAAATTAAAACTTTTTCAAACATATACTCACGTATTTTTACATTTTAAAAATGAGTTCTTAAGGTGTTTGACTGAAAGGATAGGCTTCTTAACAAAAGATCGATTATTTAGATTTCAATAGTTACAAACTAAACAAAAAAAAAATCGATCATTTCACATTAAGGAGTGATCCCTTGTTGAAAATGATCGATCACTTCTAAAAAAATATTAAACCCTTTCATAACAAATTATCAATTTTTTGAAAGTAGATTGATCATTGGTGCATTAAATGTTATTTTTTTTATTGTAGGTAATGAGTATAGTGATTCTTAAGGCTCCGTATGACTAGAGTTCATAGAAAATATATAAAATCAAACTAAAAATGTTTTAAGGACAAGAAGAAACGATACTGAATCAACCTACCAACATCAAATAATTGTATAATGATTATTTTATCATATATTTTTCATCGCAACATACTTTTGAGTTATATTGTTTATTTTGTTAAGTGCGAATTGGGCTACTAACGCAACCCCTGATTTTTTTTCAAAACATGCTCAATTTCTTTTCAAATAATCTCAAAGGTATAATAAAAAACTTAAATAACAGTTACAAAACTGCTTTATAAAAATCGGAGCTTCGTGACACATAACTTAAAACCAAAATAATACAGACTCTGAGTTTAAATTTTGAATACATGTGTAAGGTTCTATGAATACATATGCCAACTAAAACTACAGTACAATAATCTGAAGAAGATGCTGGAAGTCTTGTTGGATGGTGCTCCATGAACTGCTCGATCTACTAACTTGCTAACGGAAAACATCTGAATGTTGAGCTTACAAAGTCCAACAGTATAATCGCTAATCTAGAGCAGCATTATGAGTCTCATAAATATAAACTTGCTAAAGATATGGTATTAAGCAGTAGGTGCATGCATAATCTAGTTCAATTGTTACCTACTTAAGACTTAAATGTTCTATCACCGAAATAGGATGTCCCACACTTCCCTCAATCCTCTGCTAAGGGTTTTACCATGAGTACACCTCTAAATGGTCTCTAACTCTAATGACTGTAACTACTGCGCATTACCTAAATGCGATACCAACAGTCATGTATATTATCTGAATGCAACCCTAACTCTATTGTGCATTATCTGAATGCAACACTGACTCTACTATGCATTATCTGAATGCAACACTGACTCTGCTATGCATTATCTGAATGCAACACTGACTATGCTATGCATTATCTGATTGCAACACTGACTCTGCTATGCATTATCTGATTGCAACACTAACTCTGCTATGCATTATTTGAAAGTAATATTGATACTACTGTGGAACACACAAGCTAAGGTAGACATCATGGTGTGGCTAAGGGGTTGTATATTAGAGCACACACCCCTCTAGCCTACCTAGGATACCCTTGGGTATCTGGAGTGAGATCTAAAAATGCATCGAAAACGTACACCAGGACAACTTACTCTGTCGAGTCTTGGGGCATCTGTGCCCAGCTGACATCTGAAGTGCCTTGGCACTGTCTGGTATATACCTGGACATTGTAACAAACAAGACAATCGTCATACTGCTAAAGTAACTCGGGTGTCCTAACTGTTTCTTGACTGTCACACAAAGGCTAGTTATATGATACTTATCTTTTTAGAGATTTAAGTTGTTACTGATCTCGTTTACTATCCTCCCTAGTTGTTATCTCCATCTTTCTCTAATCTAGAACATTATACAAGAGTTTAATAATCTGTTACTACTGATAGTCTGCTCTGATATGATTATTAGCTACTTAAGGGCATTTTAGTCATTCTCTGACTTTAGAGAAGTCTCTATGCATTTCATGACTTCACAACGTTTACTATGTTTATTGTTTACTGGTTGTGATATTAGCTAGCCTGATACCAGACTCAGGTTCATCTATGGGTAATGATTCTCTATTCATTCTTACTACGCTTTCCCTCAATTCACCATAGAATTAAAGGGACGACTGTACATCTATCACTCTCTGCCATCCTTGTAGTACATGATTCTACTATTTCGTAATCTGATTATTTGGTCATACCGCTTGTCGATACACCCTTTGCAATAATCCTTCGTTCTTATATATTCGTTACCTGTTCAACTGAAGATACTTGGACGCATTACACCAGCTATGGTTACTCTGGTTATAACTCATTCCTACGAGTGTCTCTAGGCCCTTTTGGTCATTTACGTCCCTCACAAACTAAGTTCTACCATTACAGATCATCCTTAGCTCTTACGAACCAGGTCGAATCTAATCATCCAAGATGGGTAGTATTGATACTCTACTTGCAGTATTGATACCTAGATCAAGTATCGATACTCCTATGAGTATCAAAACCCTAAAATGCTCAACTACACAAATCTTAGCTATTTATCATATTTATGAAAGACTTAACACTCTAAAGGATTAGAAATACACTATATTGATGTTTGAATCCAGAAATGAAGCTCCTTTAGCTAGCAATCACCCTCCACAGTGACTTTGATGATTAAACCCCCACTTTTATTGCAACCAAAGCCCAAGGCTTTGAATCATTAAAATGATGATGTTGGAGGGATTAAGAACAAAATTTAACTATAAAAAGGGGCTCAAAAGTTTACCTTTGTGCTAAGGAACTTGTAGAGGAAGAGAAGAAAGAAGAGAAATGAGAATGAAGAAAGTGAATAGAAGAAGATGAAATGATATTTAAATCTCTCATCTTTGAAAAAAAGGGAAAATTACACTACTGATCACTCCTCGTCTCTCTACTATACAAAAATCTTTTTTAGGTTAATTGGGCCTATTCTCAACCCAATTAAGCCCAATGACTTAAGTTATGAAAATCACGGGACCCACATGTCTCTTAGGTAAACCCGAAACTACTAGCACGTAATTTGGGGTGTTACAGTTTAGAAATTGAAACACTTAAAAGTAACTGTCCAATTTTTATCTTTTTATTACGTCCATCACAATTTTTAAAAGACCAATGCATCTATTCTCTTGACTTATTAAGATTGATCCATAGAACTAACAAATAAAAAAACATGATTGACGTAACACATATTTCTAAGACTAGTAATTTCTATTATTTTAATTTATTATGTAGCTAAATTATTAGTGATTTTATTCTACTCATGTTCAAATAAACTTATTCATTTCAATGATAATTATCATTTTCACCTAATATTGATTAATACAAATAACTATTATATTTAAACAATTTATATTTAAGTAATTATTTAATTTTTATAGTTTAATTAGTGTTGAGCTTTCCTAGGATTATTTACATAAATTATTTTAAGCTATTAAATGTTTAAATAATTAATGTTTCTTTATATTAATAAAAAATAGTGTTTCTTTTGGTGTTTAAATGAACTTCTTTATTTTAACAATAAATGCCAATCTTTTATAGCAATAATTTATATTTAAATAATTAAAATACTTATTTCGATAAATAATTTAAATGATTATGTTATTTAATAGAAATACATCTTTTTATATTACTACTATTATTGATATTGATATGTCTAAATAATCATGTCTTTAAAAACTGTACTTAATTGGACACACCTTTAACCTACATGACACATCCAGTTATAAGATGAGAGTTATTTTCATAAATATTTTTTAGTGTCATTTCATTAAATACTTTAGAAATGTATTACTTTTTTTTTGAAAGGAAATTAGACACCATTAAAATTTCTCTCGGAACTCAATCAAGTCGGAGTTCGATCAAATTAAAAATTGGGCCTCGTTAGAAATGTATTATTTGTGTAAAAATGATTACTTCAGTGGTTAAAATAATAAAATAAAAATAAAAATGGGTTAAAGTAGTATACGACGAAAATCAATGAACTGTAATCACTATTTATAAAGAATTATTAATTGTTGTCGCTACTGTTTCATTTTTCAACTTCTATAAGAATAGAAAAACGTTACTTAAATCATTATTTCATTTCTTAATTTAATCATTAATCGTTTTTTCCTTATAGTTTTATTTATTTTCCGTTTTTTCCTTATAGTTTTATTTATTTTCCGTTTTTTCCTTATAGTTTTATTTATTTTCCGTTTTTTCCTTATAGTTTTATTTATTTTCCGTTTTTTCGTTCCTTCTAAAATAACATTAATATACACCAGAATGACTGAAATAACCTTTCCAGTCGATATAAATATATTTATCGTATTTCGAAATTTCAGTCATAAAACTCAAATTCTCCCCCCCCCTCCAGTAAAAACTCCATTAATGGCTCTTCCAAGTGGCATTGAAGCTCTTGACAAAGCCTTCTCAGGTTCATTCAACTGCTTTCTCTAACTTTAATTTACGTCGTCGAACTCAAATATTATTCTTCAACGAAATTGTTTTTCCATCTTTCAATTCTTAGTATTGCTTCCAGACTATGATTTCTGAATTTGCTTGAAATTTTACTTAACAAATGTGAATTTTCGTAATGTTTTATTATTTCCGACCACCGAAAAGTAAGCGATTTCAGTATTTACGACAGTGATGACAGTTTCCGGCGAAATATTGATTTTTCACGACGTGTTTTCCGTCGGTAAAAATCTGGCAAAATAAGAAGGGGGAAATAAAAATTAAAAATTATGAATATAACGTACGATGCTCCTTTCATTTCCTTTCCAAATTTCGTATCAAGTATTGCATATTAAGTTTCCATTTTATTGATAAGAGCAAGTAAGTCTGAGTTTGTCTTTTCAGATTTCATAAATTATTAAAATAATACAGCAATAACATTATATTTTAACAATCCAAAATAATAATTTTATAGTTTATTTTTTAAAATTAATAGTATATAAAAATATATTTAATACAAAATAAAAATACTTTTACCCTTCAAAAAAATTTCATCCAACTTTCTGGCTTTCGTCCCTAATGTTTATTTAATTTTCGCAGGAATTGGAGTGGATGAGAAGTCACTAATTGATATAATAGCAAAGTCAAACGATGAACACAGAACATCCCTAAGGAAGGGATGTCCCAAGTTGTTCGTTGAGGACGACAATGGTTTCGAGCGATCCGATCAATCTTGCATAGAGAATCTCAAACACCAATTCAACCGATTCAGGGTTTGTTTTATTTAAAAAGTTATTTCAGATCATTTTTCTTTGTTGGGAAACTATAATTATAATGTCAAGATTATTTATTGGTAAGATATTTTGGTAGGACGCCGTGGTGCTTTCGCTGCTACACCCATGGGAAAGAGATGCTCGTTTGATTGAAGAAGCAATAAGAAAGGGCCCAAAAAGCTATAGCGTGATAGTGGAAATAGCATGTACACGATCATCTAATCAATTATTAGGTGCTAGGAAGGCCTATCATTCCCTCTTCGATCACTCCATCGAGGAGGATCTTGCCGCCCACATTAAAGATGGTGAGCGTAAGGTAATTGATTTGTCTTTGTCTACTTCGTTTTTATTAAATATTTTTATTTTTAATGTTATTTTAAATAATGAAACGAGCCTGGCACAAGCCCATTACACCTATGATTGTAATTGGGTATTGATTGACCAACCCAATATGGTAAATTCTACTTTGGACCCACCAATATTGAAAATCTTATCCCTTTTTTGCAATATTGTTTTTCTCTTGTATGCAGCTCTTGGTAGCACTTGTTAGTGCTTACAGATATGAAGGGCCGAATGTAAAAGAGGCTGCTGCAAAATCTGAAGCTGAAATCCTTTACAATGCACTCAACAATGCCGATGAAACCAAACCACTCGATCACGAAGACGTCGTCATGATCCTCGCTACCAGGAGCAAACTACATCTTCAAGCACTGTATCAACACTACAACAAAACCTATGACAAAACCCTCACTCAGGTACATTTTACACCTGTTCAAGAATCGAATTGTCTTAATATGTCCAGTTATATTTCTTAATTCATTATTATTTTTGTAGGATCTTGAAGAAGGAATTCTAAAAGATACTGTAGAATGCCTATGTACTCCTGAAGCATATTTCCACCGGGTAAGATTATTGTTTGATATAATGATAAATTTAATTTAGATATAAATATTGCAAACTTTTTATTGTATCTATAAAATTTTGAAGTATTTTGCATAATCTAATCAAGATAAGTTCAAATAAATGATTGTAAATGTCGGGATTCAAACTTCAAACACTTTAAATATCGTTTCTTAAGGGTTGATGTATGAAGCAATTGAGTTACATTCCGAGTTGGAATGACTTTTATTCGAACCCTAGATCTACATAGCAGTATAGCACCATCTCGTAAGTATAGTTGCATGATCCAGTTGAGCTAAACTTGACAAGAAGGCATTGTTTTTTTTAAGGATTGTTGTATGAAGTAATTGAGTTCCATTATGCGTTGGATCTTACTAGTTAGTTTCATATAAGCTTTAGTAAACCTCTCTTCTTTTTCTTTTTCAGGTTTTGGATGCAGCTCTGGAACAGGATGCAGATGAGGAATCGAAAGGAGCACTGAGTCGAGTGATTGTTACCCAAAATGAGTTGCTGAGGAAGGAGGGTTATGTTCCTAATAAAATTCAAGACACTCTTTTAGGATTTTACAAGGATTTCATGCTCGGCTTGATTGCAAGTGGAGATATACAAGAAAACAACTCTTAGATTATTCAATTCATATATGTATTCTTCCATTGTTATGTTATAATTGGTGAGCTAATTGTTCTTCTCGATCCGAAAGAAGTGCCTTGTGCTTGTGTAAGAGTTCTTATATATAAGCATTGCTTATCTTATGTCCTTCACAATAATACTTGAACATTCCGGGAGCAAAAATATTTCACAATTTATGTTCTATTGACTTTATTTTTTAATAATATATATATATATATGAACGAATGAAAGTGTAAAACTAAAAAGTTTTACACAAATTTAAAATCATTGGATAAAGATACTAAATTTATCAGTTTGATTAATGAATCCCAATAATTATATACATGCGACATTCATGTTTTTTATATATAAATTTTAAATTTAATTTTAATCTTATATAAAAAAGAAAAAATATATATATATAAAAAAAGAAACCTATAGGGAAAAAACCCTAAGAAAATACGAGATAATAAAGATTAACAGCTTAGCCAACCGATCAAATATACTTATCCATATGTCAATTAGTGTTGGTACAAGTAGTTGGAATTCAGGAATTTGAATTTGTAAGATCAAATTCGAATCTTACCACGGTTACTCTTGGTAGACAATCTATATTCTATGCAAATTCTAATTGTGTTTTAAGTACGTCTTGCCCTGGATTGAAGGACTCAGCCCTAGTCTAATTTTTTTTACCAAAAATACTTATCCAGACGAGACATTTAAGTTAATTTCAGTAATTTAAGACAATTATTTTCCTTCACTAACTTAGCTTTAAGCAATACAGGGTGACACAGAATATATATATATATTAATGCGATGAGACCCTCTGGCAGAAACTCCAAATGAAATCTAATTTATTTCGATATCACCGTTTACTCCACAAAAAGAAAAAGAATCCAATACGTTTCTTCACGGCGAAGTCCAAACAGCTATTAATAAAGATTTATTCATGCAATAAGCAAACAATGTAATAATAAATAATTTTATTAAGAAATGACATCTCATTTACATAGTATTTAAGATGTGCATGGCATCGCATCTAGCCATGCATCTACATTTATCAAATTGAAAAGTTTTAAAGTATCTACACTTTTAATTTAATTTGCATGTTTAGTATCAGTATTAGTAGTATGATATGAAAAGGAAAACAACAATATTTGTTAAATCAATAAAAAGGAAGAAGGGTAATGGCATGCACATGCATCTATTTTTCTTTTATTCCTTATTTATTATTGAAAATGTTTACTTTTAACAAATTTTTAACAAATAATTAGCAGTTGTCTTTTATATTATACAAAAAGGAGAGAGTGTCAACTAATATTGTTTATTGTTCATCGTTAACAAATTTTTATTATTGTTTCTCTTGCTTTCTATTTTCACTTGTCTTTGTTTTTATTTCCAACAATACCCTAAAACTGAGAAACCGAATGACAAAAATAATCTCGTGGGTTGGATATAAATTAGAGACATTTGAGCCTTAGAATGTCATTCCCTCTCACCAACTCTCTCTTCGTAGTCCACAACTCCATTTTTAACAAAGCAAATTAGATGGCTAGTCCTTCAGAAGTAGAAGTTTTCAATCATGCCTTGTCAGGTTTTTCAGTTCTTTTCCTTCAAGCTTTCGTGTATATACAATCTCTTGTTGAATTTGATGTTTTAATTATATCATATATCGAAGTAGTTAGTGATGAATTATATATAATTTCTTGTTGAGTTTGGTGTTCCTTATTTTCCTTTCCTATTGTAATTCGTCATTTACAAGGCTGCCAGTTGTTGAACCCATGAACTAATGAATTATCTCTCAGTGGCATTATAATAAATATGCCTTGTGATAAATTGTTACTAACTAATCTTTTCGTTGAAGATTATAGATGAGCTAATTTTGTTAATTTGTAAACTGTAACTTTTCTTCTTAAATAATTTAGGAATCGGAGTTGATGAGAACTCGTTAGTTTCAATATTGGTAAAATCACACGATGAGCACAAGAAATCCATAAGAAAAGGATGTTCCCAACTCTTCTTTGAGGATGAACGTCAGTTTGAGCGGTGGAACCAAACTGCCATCAAAAGTCTGAAGGCTGAATTCAAGCGATTCAAGGTATATATTCATGTGCATGATTAATTTATGGTAAATCATTCATTCATTTGTTTAGCTATAAATATAATGCATGATTCGCTAAATATTTCAGGATGTTGTGCTGCTTTCATTGATGCATCCATGGGAAAGGGATGCTCGTTTGTTGAACAAGGCATTGAAGAAAGGTCCTCAACAATACAATATCATTGTAGAAATCGCCTGCACCAGATCCTCTGACCAGCTTTTGGGTGCCCGAAAAGCCTACCATTCACTCTTCGACCAGTCCATCGAGGAACATCTTGCTTCCCACGTTAAGGGCTCCGAACGCAAGGTTTTGTTCGATTGATTGATACGATTATTCTTGAAAAGTGTCCTTTAAACCTTTTTTGTATTGAACTAATCAGGTTTATATGTTGTTTGAATAGTTATTGGTGGCACTAGTGAGTGCTTACAGATATGAAGGGTCAAAGGTGAAGGAAGACACTGCAAAATCAGAGGCAAAAGCACTTTTAAATGCAATCAAGGATGGCGATAAAAAGAAAGTCATGGAAAACGATGAAGTTGTCAGGATTCTAACTACAAGGAGTAAGCCTCATCTTAAGGAAGTCTACCAACAATACAAGAAAATTTCTGGTAAAACCATCATTGAGGTAATTAAAAGAAAATAATAATAATAATAATCTCTCATAGATCGTCGTTGGAGTTTTCTTTCTTTTACAACTGTTTATTTCTATTGCTTCATGTGTTAGGATCTTGAAGTTGTGTTGTTATTGAAAGAGACAGTGGAATGTCTATGCACCCCTCAAGCATATTTCACTAGGGTAAGATTGTTACGATTTCAATCTAAGTTGAATTCGACTTATGAATAAATTAATTATGATGTATAAATAGGTATAATTTTAATTAATTGTGCTTGGTATTAGGTTTTTGATGCAGCTCTAAGAGACAATGCAAATGAGGATGCAAAGAAAGCACTGACCCGATTGGTTGCAACCCAAGAAGATGAAGAAATAAAGGAAGTGGCAGCTAAATTTCAAGACAAAATAGAAGAGAGAGTTAAAGGAGCCTATAAGGATGTATTGGTTGGTGTGTTAGCAAAGGAGGAGACATGAATGGACAAGTTTTAAGTTCAAATAAATGCCTTCCATATCTCCTGTATTTTATTTGAATGTTGTTATCGTTGTTGTTTATTGGTCGCCTACATTAAATGCTGTTTCTATTAATAATGTTGCTTCCATCTTTTACTTATTAAATCAACTTTCATTCCTCTTCTACCTTTGTTCTTTTTTCTGTTATAGTTTTTATTTTTTTTTCTAATAAAAAAATTATTCGGATTATAATTTCACATCTATTAGATTGATAATTAAATATGTATTAACACTACATCAAAATAGAGTTTTAACGGCGTTTTTTAGTTCTATAGCGGTGATGGCAAAAACGCCGCAAGAAGCGCCGGCTATACCAGCGCCGCTAATGTTAGCAGCGTTTGTAAAATAAAAACACCGCAAAAAGTCAAGATCTATCGTGGCGTTTTTGAAACAACGCCGCAAAAGGTCAGATCTATAGCAACGTTTTTGGATACAAACGCCGCAAAAGTTCGAGATCTATAGCGGCGTTTTTGCAACAAACGCCGCAAAAGGTCAGATCTATAGCGGTGTTTTTGGATACAAACGCCGCAAAAGTCGAGATCTATAGCGGTGTTTTTGAACAAATGCCACAAAAAGTCAAGATCTATAGCGGCATTTTTGCAACAAACGCCGCAAAAGGTCAGATCTATAGCGACGCTTTTGTATACAAACACCGCAAAAGGTCATATCTATAGCGGCGTTTTTTATACAAACGCTGTAAAAAGTCAGATCTATAGCGGCGTTTTTGGATACAAACGCCGCAAAAGTCATATCTATAGCGGCGTTTTGATACAAACGACGCTAATTTCCATTCTTAATTGATATTTTGCATATTTCATTTCTTTTCTACATCACCTGAATTTAATATCATGTAACTTTATATAAATAACAACAACCATAAATTTTAGTAACAAAATAAATTAAAATTTATAAATATTAAAATTAAATGTAATGTAGTTTGACATTGTTCTCTAAAACAATAACATCACTTGTAAACCTTTAGATACTTCATAAACATTCTACATTTTCTTTACAGACTTGAGAGAAACAATTTTATTGAAGCTACTATTTATAGACTTACACTCCTCCAATACGGGGCTGGAATAAGATCTCTCCAATTTGAAAGCGTTCTTTTGACAGTGTAAACCGGCCCACAGCTGGAGCCTCCAGTGATGCTCGAGTATCTTTCGACAGTTTGTTTTATAATCAATGGCAACATAGCATAAATTCTGTATTTTAATCAAACTAAAAGAGTATCAAGAAAATTGAATGAACATGTTGCCAATTTACAACAAGAAAGCAAAGGTAAATGATCTTGCATGAACATCAACGTGAAGGTCTGGAGGCTCCAAAGGTCAACGAGGCATTGATTCAAAAAAGGAGTAAAAACACCAAAGTAAATTTATCAATTTTAAACACCTTTGACACTACTCAAACCATATAAAGGAAATATCATTAACCCCAAGTTACAGAGGATTACAACATACCTCTTTCAGTGTCCGCACAGTGTACAACGATTCAAAGGTAATGTGTTTGCTGCAAGAATTCCCTGAGGTATCCTGTTAGTTTCAATGCTCCCAGTCTAATAACTTCAACACCCACCTTATGCATAACTTTCCCATTTAAAACTATAAAACACGAATCATAAGCTTGTATCAAATTGAATAATCAACTCATTTGACTCGTCAAGAAGTATCCCGAAAAATGAAATTGGAAATAAACTCCTCAAGAAGTATATTATTAGTAAATACAATTAAAAAACTACTACAAGTAAGAGAAAATAACAGAGAAAGACGGGGAAGAAGTTAAAAACCATTATCTTATGAACCTCAGTTTCAACCTAAGAACAAGAATAGTTAAGCAGCAAGTGAGGTACTATTAATTACAAAAGACATAAATCAATCCTCACCAGAATGAAAAAAATATAGATGGAGACAGATCATGCAATTAGATCTGAAAAAAATTAAAGGGTGGATTAGAGAGTTCATAGGGAAAACCCTAGTAGGTTCAATCCTTTCAAGATTGCTTCATGTGCCTTTTGATCCTATTCATGATCAGTAAAATAAACAAATGAATCAGGGAACATATATTTCCAGTTATAACTTTGTACTAAGAATTTTAAACGATAAAAATAACTCAAAAAGTGAACTACTTACTCTTAGTAGTAAAGGAATGTGCCAAATATTTGGAACGTCATAGAGAGTGAAAATATTTTCGGCCTGGAAAAAAGTCATATTTCTTAATAATAGTAGTTACTGATTTAGGAGATGGAAGAGAAGCAGACAAATAGAATTCATGTTTCATTACCGGAACATGGCAAAACTGAGAGAGCTTTAACTTGACATTATCATCAAGTGCCTATTGTAAAAAAGGGGCAAGTGAATGAATAAGAAATGTCAAATTAGCACTGGTAAATACAGTTGAAAAAGATAAATAAGGGTAGAACCATTGTACTGCAACAAGCAAGAATATTTGGTCTCAAGCCAAGTCCTCTAAGTCCCCGAACACTGTGTTAACAAGCATGTTCCCTCACTGCTTGATTCTTCTGAATTCCTTAAAATGAAGAATTATACCATTACTTTAAACCTATAAGGACTGTACATATACAGAAAACAAAGAGATAACAAAGAAAATATATTATATCTGAGTTTGAGCTCCGCAGCTCCTAGAAAAGTATCAAATTATTAGAGTGAAGCTTTCAAAGAAAAACATGGACCAGAAAACTTTCGAGAGTTTGGTTATATTTTCTTCTTTCATTTCCAATGAAATCTTGACCTCATTCTATATAATACAAACAAAATGAAAAAAAATAAAAAGAATAATATATTCAAGGACTTACATGCATTTGTTACTAGCATGTTTATTGGCCATGAGTTTAAAGTTTGAATTGATCATCTTACCAAAACACTTCACCATGAAGTTGTTTTGCTATAAACAAAAAAAATCTCTTTTAAGTATTTGCACCAAAAGCTACTCATTGCTTATACTGAATTTCTTCTCCAATTGAAGTAATTGGAAGCTAGTAACAATCAAGGACCATGAACTCTTAAATTAGTAATTTGAAATAAAAAAATTATAAATAGAATGAGAGATTTATATTCTAGTCCAAATGAAGGTACAAATACCCTAGTAAGGACTGTCAAAACCAACCAGAAAAACATTATATAAGCATGCCAGAGCTTGTCCCTGCAGAATAAAAGCATTTTCATGGTTTTAAAACTTTATAAAACTCCGAGCTCAGAGAATTATGATGTACCACTCCAGTCACAATTGAATGATGAGTAAGCAAGAGAGAGTTCAACATGAATACACTTTATAAAATGATCTTAAGGAACAATTCCATATTAATTAGTTCTACATGAAGATTAAGACCCTTTAGTTAGATGGATCACTTGACAATTATGCATCCAAACTTGAACCTAAATTGTAGGCACTTTACATGTGATAAATCTAATTTTGAATAGAATTTCAGGAATTGACCCTGTAAATGCACTACTTGTACAGAATTAAAGAAATTGAAATATCAATTGCTTTAATGTTAAATTTGTGGACCTTGGATTTCAAAGTAATTATTACTTCAATAAACCCCAATTCTTTAGACATCATAAAATTTTCAACGACAATTTTATTCACTCGACTAAAATGTAAGAAAGCATCTCAATTTCACAGTTCACGGCACCATCACCCAGTAACATATAAGTGATTTCTTAACTTTCCAATCATAGGCAAACGACAACAAATTTAGCGAAAATTAGTTACGGTAAGCGTAATCCTGAGTAAACAAGTGTAGTAAACAGAGTCAGCGAATTAAACCTGAGTAAACTCATGTAGTGAGTCTCTATGTCTTGCAAGTTTCTGGGTTACCGAAGTAGTCGGTGCAGAAGATGCAGCACATCTACTCATACCATCAGTCCAACAGTTTCTCAAACAATGATTGAATTTCAATTTCCATAGACTTCCATGATCTGCTTGACCCGGCCGGTGGCGACCCAGTATCTACATAATCTAAATGTAAGTAAATATTATCACAAAGAAGAAGAAGAAACGAAAGAGCACCAGATTCTTAAGGCTTTGGATTCTTAAAACAGGAAAAAATTTCCTATTAAACAAATCTTATTTATTCAGCTTTTAGAATATGTTCAGTTCTTCAACAAATTTGTTCCTAATTTCAATAATCTACCGGGAAAAAAAAGCAGCACACATTCCAGAAAATAACAATAAAAAGGAGGAAAATGAGCAACCCTCCTGGGTTGAACCTAGCACCGAGCTTAGCATAAGAAGATAGTTTGACATCGAGATCGCCTTCGATCTTTCGAGCTTCTTTCCTCAATTCCTCCCAATCTGATTCTTGTTGATTCAGTTCAGATCCATCATTTGGATCTCGGTAGTTCAACCTCGAATGCCTTGCTCTTCAATTCCAACGATGAGTTCTTCTAAAAATGTGGATAAGGGAATCAAAATCAGAGATAACATAAAAATGACAGTGAAGTAGATGGGTTTGGGTTTAGTAGTGAAGAAGATGGGTTTGGGTAAACGACGGGATTGAAAAATGTGTGAAAGGGAAAAATGAAAAAAAGGTTAAAGGGCGCGACACTTAAAATTTGTAAACTTGCGGCGTTTGTAAACACAAACGCCACTATAGTACAAGTGTATAGCGGCGTTTGAATAAAAACACTACTAAAGTATGAGTGTATAGATGCATTTGTATAAAAATGCCACTAAAGTACGAGTCTTAGTGTTTGTATAAAAACGTCATTAATGTACGAGTCTTTAGCGGCGTTTGTAAACACAAACGCCACTATAGTACAAGTGTATAACGACGTTTGTATAAAAACGCCACTAAAGTACAAGTCTATAGCAGCGTTTGTATAAAAACGCCACTAAAGTACGAGTCTTTAGTGGCTTTTATATAAAAACGCCACTAAAGTACTGCTCTTTTGCGGCGTTTGTTGAAAAAACGCCACTGTCGATGAATCTATTGCGGCGTTTTTATAAAAACGCTACTAAAGTTACCATTTTGTGACGTTTGCTATGTAAACGCCGCTATGTGTTTAAAATTAGTGGCGTTTACTCCCAAAATGCCGCTAAAAATGCCGATGTAGAACATTTTGCTCTAATGTAAAAATAACAAATTGAAAAACTAATTATGAATTGAAAATAAATCAATGGGATATGATACTTGTCACACTATAAATTAGGGCTTAATTTTTTCTTAATTTAATTTCAAAGACTAATTGGAAAATTCTATAAAATTTGGGGATCAAAATGAATTTTTTATTTAAATTTGGGTCCAAATCAAGAATCAACCAAAGTTTGAGGACCTATGACATGATTTTGCCATTTTTCTTTTTGGGTGAGTTTAAAATCTTCCTAAATTGTTTTTTTTTCATTTATGGAAACTTAAACTCTCTTCAATCTTCCTTATTGGAAAACCTTTGGTCAAAATCTTTCACCGTAGTTTCACCGTCGATCGTTGTTCCGATTTTGTCGTCGTCCAAATCATTGGATTCTCTGCGTCGTCCTGACTCCACCAATGTTCACCTCATCGTCAAAGTCGCCGACATGTGGAGGGTGAGCGATAACAATTTTCTAATGTTATCGAATCGAGTTCTTCGTTGTTCACCATTGTGAACCGAGCTAAGCGTCTCAAAATCTCTTAAAAAAGTTATCCTTCGCCACACGCCACTGCACGTGCCCTGCGCATGGGCCTTGTCCACCGCCTGGTGGACCATTTAGAAGTGGGTTAACCCGACCCACTGACCCGATCTGACCTGTACCAGTATCTGACCCAACACGTCTGGCCCAAACCCAAACCAACCATTTCTAAACCAAATTGAACCAGTCAAATCGAATTGAACCAATCAAATCGAATTAAACCGAGTCACGTCGCTCAAAGCCGTTGACTTTGACCATTGACCGCCACAGTTGACCGATATTGACTTTGACCGTTGATCGATGTTAGCTTTTTTAAAACCTCCTACTTGAATTTTTTCGACGTCCTGAGTCTAATTTTGTGGTCGCTTTATCAAATTCTAACCCAAAATCCCCGAATCAAGCCTGTTAATCCAAAATGCTTAGTATTTTTAGTTTTCTATTTATTTATTTGGGATTTGATTATAGAATTAATCTGGGATTATATTTTCATGAAGGTACTCGTGATTCCCCTAATCGAGGGTCGAATAGATCCGGTGCTTCCCGTTCGGTTGATTAGTACGGTTCATGTACTTCGAGAGATACTCGTAGACTTCTATAAATAGTTGAAAAGTTTATTACTTGTTTTATTAGGATTCTGATTAGTTATTCAGATTCATAAGATCTAGCACTACGGATGACCGTGATAGGTAAACCCCAGTGTAAGCTATCGTTCCAGACTTCTTAGATCGGTACAAGTGTGTTCCTATTGGTGTTACAATATTGTTTTGAAATATCTATTGAACTGTTTTAAAATTTTTTATTTTATTGAACACTCTGACTGTATGATATCTGATTACCGTATTCTTCCAGCATGATATCTGGTTATCGTATTTCTATATTTGATTTTGATATTTTCAAAAAAAATTGATTTTGAAAATTGCATGTTTTAATATTTAATAAATTAAACTACTTTCTTCACTCAAATACATGCATATTTACTATCATTGGGGTATGATTGGAGGAAGTATTTAAGGTTTAGTTTATGACTTGTAAGACTTTACCGCAGGCTCCTCTGCTTTGTGCATAGGGTAAGTCCTTACCGGGTGTATAGGTGGGTGTATGGTTCAGGGGAACCTACACATTCTGGTGTTCGATGGGGGTAGTGTTCATGTTTCCAAAACCTATTTTATACTTGACTTTTACTGAAGTATTTTATCTATATGGTTTTATACACCGAAAAGAGCAGATTGGCTTTTTAGCTCATTCTTTAATTTTTAACTTTGCAGATACTACTCGACAGTAGGCTAGCAGTCTTGGTATCAGGAGGATCGACTATTCTCTATTTTGTATCATTGTGTATTCATATACCCTTTTTCTGTTTTATTTTGGTAGCACATGTTTTATTACTACATACGTATTTGTATTACCAATATTTTTTTTTCGACGTCAATATCTCTATATATTTACCGCATGGACTTTTATGATGGTTATTTTCAATATTTTATTGTTACATGGTTCTTATTTATTGAAATAGATTTGGACTGCATTTTGAATATGAAGAGAACTTCTGAATACGACATGTGCTCGTCTAGATTCAGTCGTAACTCACTGGCCGGGTCTAAGGAGTTACAATATTGTTACACAATGAAAACTAGTTTAGTTTTATACAGATTTAGGATCATTGGATGAGTGAAAACAGATGGTTGAGATTAACAGTTGTAAATGTGAAGATATTTACTGTAAAAAAATGAATCACAACCATCTATTTTTAATCATCCAATGGTCCTAAATTTGTGTAAACTAAAGAATTTTACAATGTGTAAGTGGATCCAAACCCTAAATATATATATATATAATAAAATTAATTTGATTCA